CTAATTATGGTTGTCCCATCCTATGATTTTTATAGTTTCTTATATTTTATTATGTTTCAAGATACTGGGGTATGAAAATGTGTTCTCAGCTGTACTTTGTCACTACAGTAAGAACAAACTGAACACGTATACTTTCTTAAATTGAAGGATAGTTAGGGTAAGGTATTGTGCAGTAGAACGTGAGATGAATCACAGATTTTCTTTTTATGTTGTCTAGTAAAAGTATAAACCAGCAATTAATGAGCAGTCTTAGAGACTTACCTGTACAGAGCATATGCTTCTCAATGCTTTAAGTTGGCGGTATTCCAGCCAGTTGTATTTCCATGTACCTAGTGGGAAAATTCTCTTAGGTTCCACTTCTTTGTCTGAGAAAAAGAGACACCTCTCATATATATGCTTTTTGTCAGTTTGCAATGCTTTCACTTGAAGCTTTCCTGTTAACTGTTCCTGTCTCTAAGTGAGGGAAAAGCGCCAAAAAGGTCATGAAATATTTTGTGATCTTATGTAAACTGAGAGATACTTTCTTCCACAAAACCTGTTCCATTTCTGTTCCTCTGTATGACTGGAATGAATGCATTCAGATCACTGCACAAGAGAAGTAAGATTATGCATAATTATGTGTTATTTTTAAAGTGGTCTCTGATCTAAAAAGCACAGACTTGTTATCTAGTTGATGAAGGCTAGCAGGTGTGATAGCCAAGAAAATATCATTTGATGGTAGTGCTGCACTGAAGGTAAATACTCAGATGTCTAGTTGAAAGCACACAGTTTTCCAATTAAACACTAATTGTGGATACAGAAACTTGCTGTGGTTAACTCAGGCATACAACACTTAGGGCCTGTGTAGGCTGGGCAGGTTCTTGTAATTGCCTGCTGTTCCAGCTGAACTTCTCAGAGCCCTGGTGCAAATGAGCCTGGATTGATTCTAAAAGAAAAATATGAGATTGCCCAAATCCAGCTGTACTGACAGAGCAGACACAGGTCTGAGTAACTGTGTCTGTACCACAAGCTCTGCACAGCCATAAACCTTGACTGAGCCACACTGGTGCCAAGTCTAGTTCAAGCACATTAAGTTCATTTACTGTTTGGGGAGTGTGCTGTTTAGAGATGAGGCTTTGGTACTTTGGAGGTCCCTTTATAGCACTGTCCAGTGGTGTAGATCATAGGCATAAAAAGCATTAAATAAAACAGCATCAAATCATTTCTCTCTGCCTTCTAAAGAAATCAATTTATAAACTCTGCAAAGCAAGTTTACCAAATATATTGCTATGATTTATGTAATTTTGCATTGTGAGTTTTTTGTTCTGTCTATGTCAGTCCATCTGGCTAATTCTAAGGATTTTAATGCACCTGAAGTAGGAATTTTTAAGTGAAAGCTGTGTGAGCAAAGGTTTAGCACCTCTCTTTCCCACCCTACCTTGCTATGCCCAAATCCTGTTTCTCTGATGTATTTAGGCCATACTGGAAAGCTATTTTGATATATACTGTCTATACATTGTCCTGTATCTTGATTAATAAATTGAATGTTTTCTGTATTAGAGACAAAGTTTGATATTAGTGTTAAAATAGAGCATTACATTATGTTCCAGGTATCCTGAAGTCGGAAAGTTTATATAAAACGTTCTTGTTGAGAAATGCTAAGCTACATGAGTTTCTTTAGACAGAAGTAAGTGGCAGATGTTTGCATATTTCTATATAAACATTGCTATACATTGTTTCTTTTATTCTAAAATTTTAGTGTTGTTTTAAATATGCTTATTTTAAAGCTGGGTGAAGAAATTTTTCAATCCTCATTGTCAGTATTATTCACTTGTGGAGGAGGAGGAGGATAGGGTGTCAATGAAACATCTTTATTCTTGTCCATACTTCTTAAGGTTAGCCATAATATTTACTTTCATAAATACATGCTGCTTGTCTTTTCAAGGAACTTTTCAAGTTCAGTGAGTATATGTTCATGCTTTTACAGCTAAAACTTTTCTCGGGCTGTATTAAAAAAGTGATAAGTGGAAATTGTTCAGCACCTTAAGTCTCCTGCAGGACTATTGAATTCTAGTTGCTTTTAGTAGAATCAGACTAAGACTTAGAGCAGCCATGCAGGTCCCCTAGGGGACTTTCACTGTCTGCATAGAGTGTTACTTCATTTCCAACATTTTTGTTGTGCTTCCTTGGGTATATGCTACTTATGGCAATCTGAAGAATTAGTAAGTTAATATGCCAAACCACACTGTACTATTTTAGGATTCCATTTTGCAGTATCTTTATCCTGAGTAATTGTGGGCTGCCACTAAAAGGTTGCCATGTATTGAAATTTGCTTAGGTAAGGTGTTTTCCAGGAAAAGCACAGTAGTTGATGTGTGAGAGGAAATTGAAGTGTTCTCTGGGATTCTTCCTTTGCTGACAGTTGACAGCATTCTGGCAAGGTGACAGTTAATAGGACAAATTTATTATTAGTTTCCTCATTAATAATAGAAATCTGGAATCTGCTGCACCCTGCTCTTCTTTCCATATGCGCTTCTGCAAAATTGCTAGAAAATGAAACAAAATGTCAACTTTCATTTGGCTGGTGAGTTTATCTGATAGACCTTAGTCATGTTTTAATGAACGACATTGCAGGCATACGTTGTGTAAGAATCTTGAAAGTCTGACAGTTTCTGAATCTAATTAGACTTAGTTTAATATTTAAAGATTAAGAATTTTGGTGGTGTGGATCTTTGAAGCTAGATTTCATAAGATTGGCACCAGTAAATTCACAGATAGGAAAAAAAAATTAAGTATTTTGCTTTCTTCTGGGGGCTATATTCACAGAACTGGTCAATACCAGGCACTTCTGAGGATGCCTTTGTGAGAGGTGAAGAGGCAGGGAGCACAATGGGTTCTGAGCTGAGTGGCAGCAAAGCATTGAGTAAAAGTAAACTTGCTTATAAAATGAGAGGATCACAATTTCCATGGTTGATGGATAAAACTGTAGTGGTTATGAGAGACTCTGAGGCGAGGGTTGCCAAGGAGATGGATGTTAGGGCTGGTTCAGGCTGAGGAAGCTGTAATGGCTGGATGAAATGCTGGAGGATTGGAGGCGAGGGGAAGGTGTATGTTCTAAAACCTCTCTGTGCTGATCTGAGTGCGTTTTGTCCAAGCAGCTTATTAACATCCCACAATAGCTCATCCTACAAAATGTTTTAGAAATGACTTTTCGTGTACAGATGGTTTGGGTTGTTTTTTTCATTCATCTTTGAAGCAGACAGGGGTAGGCTAATCGTTCATAGGCATTACCTAGGTGACTGTAGAGCTAATATATTCAGAACGTAGTTGAAAGCTTTAGTACAGAAAGATTACCCATAGAATTCTTTTTTTTTTACTTTACTAAAAATAAGCAAGGATTTATTTCATATGCTGATATGTGCTAAAACGCTCTTATGAATTTTAAAGTGGTTAGTAATTACAAGTTTCCCACTACCTATTGCCAAGCAAATTTTACAGTATTGAACACGTAGCAAATGACAAAGCTTTATGGCAATAAAATTTGCTTGGTAATAATACCATGTATGGTAAACATGTAAAAGTGTTAATATGAAGGAATTCTTTTGTCAGAGAATGCTTCCTCTCAAGATCCTTTTCAAGTATACTTAGTTTGTTTCACCCTTTGATGATAGGAAGTTTACCAGATTGATAGAGTCCTTTGGCATTTAGTTAAAGTCCTTGAGACAGAGACTCATTTTTTGACAGTATTTTGGAAAAGGGTCTTGTTTAATACATGTTTCTTTTGACATAAATGCTAATTAAGGTAGTGCATTTTTAATATACAACATACCAAAGAGTTAAGGATGTGTCCTTTTTAGAACTTCAGAATGCTTTTTATTGCACCTAGATAGCTGAAATGAATGCAGGTTAGGTAGTTGAAAGTGGAATTTGGTAATTTTACAGATTCTTAAAAGAATTCTACTTCTGCAACATTTTAGATTATTTGTGGAGGCCACATTTGCACTGTCTGCATTTTCAAAGCCAGTTAAAAATTTAACAAAGGTATGGTGGCATGGTGTACAGGAGCTAAGAATCTGTTTGCGGCTATTGAATAATAATGTGGGAAAGTATTCCTTAAGTTACTAAAAAAGAAAGACAGCATGCTGTTGCTCTTGAAGAAATGAAGATTTTTCTTTAGGCATTTGTACAACTAGACATCTGTAACAACTATGCCCAGAATCCATGTAAAGAGAAAATTAAATGTGCACAGTTAACATCAAAGAAACTGGAAATGATACAGTAAAAGCCACCATGTAGTTTTGGGGTTTTTTTGTCTTCTGCTGTGGACATGTGTATTGTGATTTTACCTTTCTTTTTTTAAAGTGAGGGGGTTTTGGTAGAATATACATCCTGTTTTTCACTCTTGTTCTCACTTTCCATGATAATTACTTTTCCTTGTAGGAGCTGGTATGTGAGATCTCTGACAAGGCCAGTTTTCCCTTTCTGGCCTAGATTTGGCTGTATTTGTTTCCACATCAGTGACAGGTCTTCCTGGCAGTTGTGATGAGGAGTATTGTGATGATTGCTGTGGCTGGAAGATGTACCGATATTTTGTCAGCCCTGTATTTACAGAGTTATTTAACAGTTTGGGTTGGAAGGGATCTCTGGAGACTGTCTAGTCCAAACCCTGCACCTTTGCTGCATGCGTGTGTGATAAAGGATGGCAGCACTCTTGGAGCTCTCTGGATGGCCTGTAGCTTCCTGCCTTTTGATGTACTGTCATTGCCATTTAGGATTTTGCTACCATACAGTCACTTTTGGTTTTCTATTACTTTTGCCCTTCTAGAGTACTATCTTAAGAACATTCCTAAAAATAAAACATTTCAGACATGTGCTATCTCATTCCTGTAGAACTTAAAAATAACATATATTTGCATATGGGACCTATTTGGGAAGTGTCTTCCACATCTTATAAAGAATTTTGCCTTTGATCAGATTACATATGGTTGTAAAATCTTCATTTTTCAAATTTTATTTCTTTACAGACCAGAAGCAATATTTGGATGAAGTGGTCTAACTGAGTTGCCGTCATGAGCAGAAGCAAGCGTGACAACAATTTCTACAGTGTTGAAATTGGAGACTCTACATTCACCGTATTGAAACGATATCAAAATTTAAAACCAATAGGATCAGGAGCACAAGGGATAGTATGGTAAGGTTTCTTTAAAATTTAAATGTACTTTTGCCTTAATAGAATTTGTTGAGTCCTTTAACTGTTGTATGTTACTGGCTAGGAGTGTGGAGAACTACCTTTTATGTGCAAAACGGCAGTAGTAATTGTTGGCCTTTTTTCCTCACTGAGGGCTGTTGCTTTTTGATGCAGGCCCTTTCCTGCTTCCAAACTGATGCCTTTCTGTGCAGAATCAGCCAGCTGTTCCCCTAGTCCTGTAAATTAATGGGGGCAGGAACCTGGATAAAGAAACTAATCCTAATCCAAAACCACACTGCTTTCAGGGAAACAAAGCCAGAAAAACAGTCTGATATTTGCTGCCTGTAAATGCTTTTACTTCTTGAAATGGTTTGTTAGGGGTCTGTTTTACTTAGTTTCATAATCTAAGTAGTCCCTGATACCAGTTCGTGAGCATTTGTGATGCTGACTGTCATTGTAACATGTAAATACCAGATGCAGTTTAGGAAAATATGACTTGACAGCGTGGTTCTTTGAATAGGAGCTCTGCTGTGTGGACCGAAGTGTGCGATTGATTGAAGACTGGTGGCAGCTAGCTGCTTGTAGGCACTGTTTCCTGGGCTGTGACACTGCCCCAAAGATAAATGTTGGGTCAAGTTTCTTGAACTTTTTGAGTGGTCAAGAGAAGGAAGAAGATAGCACAGGAACTTGCAGATTTTCCAAACCATTTTAACTCTTAAAATGATAACCAGGGCCATAGAAATAGAAAAGAAACATCAAGGAAGTGAAAGGTAGGGAAAAGCATAATCTTCTTGAACACTTTTCCCTGTGACCTCTGTACTACCCTGATCTTGTCTTGATCAGTGTTTAGAGAATGTGTGGTATGGGTGGGATTTTAATTTGTGCTTGTGTTTTAGCTGGATTAATAGTAAAACTGTGTGCTTAGTGCAAATGAAACTTGAAGGACAGTACTCTTAGAAAGTTGATTTTGAAATGGAAACTTCTGGCATTAAGATTGTTTGGACTGCAAGCAGCAGCAGCAGAAAAACTGATCTGAATTTTGCATGTGTGTTAATAAAATGAAGACGTTGGCAGTAGTTTGACTAGTTTCTTTAGTTGCTACAGAAATGCCTGACAAAGCTTTAGATGTTATTACTGTCCTTCTGATTCCTAGTCATATGTTACTGCCAGTTTTCCAAATTTACTACCCCTCCTAGAACTGAGATCAAAAAACTGACCATGCAATTGCACTAGTGTCATTCTGTAGTTGCTACTAGTGGTAACTGGAGCCTTTTTAGTTAAACTATTGTGATTACCCTGAGAAGGACCAGAGTGCTCAGGTGGTTCAATCTTGTCCATGTCTGGAGGAGACGTGTAATTCTTGTAATAGTGTGTAACTCTTGTAGTTCTTGTGATTTAGGTTGCATTTTTCATTGTTTCATTTTGTTTGTTTGTTTTTTTTTAAAAAAATAAATCCAACTTGATTTGGACAAGTATTAAGTAGATGGCCTACAGGCTCAACCATATCTAATGCTGAAACAGACTCTAAGGTGACTGTTATGCACTGGGGATGCAGAAGTTTAAATACTGGTGCAGGAGTCCCACATTGTCAGTGTCTTCTGGCCACCTCTTTGCTGCTTTTTTTGCTGGTAGGTGGAGGAAGTTCCAGAGAGAGGAAAATGTAGACCAAAGAAAGTTACCAGTATATGTTGTTCCTATGGTTATTTTTTTTTTCTTCAGTTGTGACTAAAGGTGTTTTGATATGTAATAAATTTAAAAAAAAAAAACAAAAAAAAAAAAAAACAAAAAAAAAACAAAAAAAAAAAAAAAACACCAAACCAAAACAAAACAAAAAAAAAAAAAAAAAAAAAAAAAAAAACCACAAAAACAAACAAACAAACAAACAAACACCTCAAGTTTACGTACTCTATAGACAACATGCTTTTTAAACTAGCTACTTGCATGTAGTAGATCCTAACCAGTTACTGGCAGATGTTCTTCATTGGGTTTGAATACCATTCCTGATATAAGATAAACTGTTTTCCTTGCTGAGGCTTTTTTAGTAACTGATAAACATTTCCTGAGTCTGCATGGTAGTCAGCCATTGTATTGCCTCTTACAGGAAACAAAATCTGTGCCTTCCTGTCATGGAAATGTGGTATGTATGGGAGTTGTCCCCAGTAACAGTATTCATCAGTTAAACAGCTTATGTCACTGAATCATATGACAATCTTGGCACTAGTCGGTGAAAAGAAAGAGTAACATTTTGTTTGCAAAGTAAAAGCCAATGCCATCGAGATGTTGATGTTTTCCTAACTTTTTTCATTTTTATCTCAACATTGATGTTCTCATTGTCTTCAGTATCTCATTCTCAGCATCTTTAGTAAGATATTTCAGGAAGCAGAGATCCTTCAGTACTTTATGGAGATGGCCATGTATTAATCCTATGAAGCTTGGAAACATTTCTGAATTTTGAATCACTAGCACACAAGAGCACTTGGCTACACTCCTTAAAGCTAAAAGATACTGGAAGCTTGGTTTATCTGCAGACGTGGCACAAGATATCTGAAAAAGTGGCAGCTGCCACGGCTTAAAGGACGTTGATGCTGAGATCTAATACTGTTATTTTTAATGACAGCGCAGCTTATGATGCCATCCTTGAGCGAAATGTTGCAATCAAGAAGCTAAGCCGACCATTTCAGAACCAAACCCACGCTAAAAGAGCCTACAGAGAGCTTGTTCTTATGAAGTGCGTTAATCACAAAAATGTGAGTTCTACCTCCCACTTTGAGTGTTAAAGAATTAACTAGAAGGTTATTCTTTGTAAAGGTCTTAAAAATGACTTTAGAGTACGGCATCATCTGTCGATTAGAGAGCTTTTTATTGCATGATTGTATCGCCATGATAAGTACAGAAGAATCTTTCAGAAGATCTATTATTGACTAGTTTTAATATGTGCTCAATCTTTAAATAAAGCCTTCAAACTCAGGAAGGGAGTCATTGTTGTGTTGCTACATTTTACAAGCAGCTGGCAAATAAGAAAACCATGAGTAGTAAGTGCATCTTTGTTTCTATTTTTGCTGCTAGATGATTAGGAGAAAAAAGACTGATAATGGATTTGGTTTTTTTCTGATGCATGAATGAGTTAGGAATCTTGTGACAACAGAAACTGTCTGATGCTTATGAAGCTGTGGAGTAGACTGGATCACAGAAGTGGGGAGACTATAAGTGATAAATTTATCAGATTTGAACTACAGAATGCTGGTATTGGCCATTTTCTTCCTTCAGAGACAGCTGTTTGCAGTCTGCCTCACTTTCCCTCTTAATCCCCCTTCAGCAGATAAAATTTCCCCAGGGCTTCTAGAGGAGAGAGTCATAGACTATTTACTCTTTTAGCTACTTGGGAAAATTTGGTATTTCTTCTAGGATAGGGATGGTTTATATGTGGATTCTCTGGAGGAAGTTTTGCCTAAGAGCAAAATTTGTATGATGATCACCTATTGCAAGCCTGCCTGACTCCTGATGAGTAGTAGCTAAGAATGGATGGGATGTGCAGAAACAAGGTCAAGCAACTGGGAAATGTCCTGGAGAAGCTCCAAGAATCTGTTTGTTTCTTTGGGTGGAATTGTTGCTTTACCTCTGTCAATGGCTAAGTGGTATATCTTAGGTAGACTTTGCCAGGTCTTAGTTTTGTTTTTCCTCATGTGCAATAAACAACTTAACAGTTCTTTTCAAATTGAAACTAGGGCGCATGGAAGACTGACTTACTTCCCTAGTTTTTAGGCTTTGAATATCATCTTGTTAATGTACACAGAGTGTCTTTAGATTATGTGATTTGTGGAGGAATAATATTCCTCCTAAAATCATTAGTATCTATTAGAGCATGTTAGGCCTGGCTGAGCCACTGAACATCTTGAGCTTCAGTGTGTTCCAGGAGGTTTGCATCAGAATACTGGCTATTGGTTTTGAAATGTTGACTCTGCAACTTTGCTATTGCTGTGGTGCAGCTACATTTCCTCTCTCCCTTCCTACAGATAATCGGCCTTCTGAATGTGTTCACACCACAGAAATCCCTGGAAGAATTTCAAGATGTGTAAGTTTGCTTTGAACTGAAGCTGAGAATTAATTTAAAAAATACTCGTGCAGAAAGGTGAACAAGGGAGAGAATAAAATGAAATGGCAGTATTGTCTGATCATTCTTTTTTTTTCTTCATAAGCTACATAGTGATGGAGCTTATGGATGCAAATCTCTGCCAAGTGATTCAGATGGAGCTAGACCATGAACGAATGTCCTATCTTCTTTATCAAATGCTGTGTGGTATCAAACATCTTCATTCAGCTGGAATTATACATAGGGTAGGTGAACTTAACTGTGTATATTTTGCATTACATCTGGTTTTGCCTTGAATATTTAAAGGACGAACAAAAAATCAGGAGTAGGAGCAGAAAGGGTGATCATAGCCTGTCCCATAGGCAGAGAAAGCTGAAGGGAGGTCATCACATTTACCTTTTTCCACTGTAATTCTGCAATGAACTTCTTGAATGTTTGAATGGTTTGATAATAATCTACACAAGGCAAATAGATATTTTTGCAGTGCATTACATTACCTCTTTTAATTTTGGATAATGTTCTATTTTAGTAGTCATGGCAGGAAAGAATATCTGAAAGCATCTCTGCCTGTGTTGTTTTGGTAACCAAACCTGAAATCCTATCTTTTGAAAGAACTGCACATTTAATTTCTGCTCTTTTACTAGCAGAGTAATGAATAAATACTGACGTCTTCAGATAAACAGATGATGATAAAGACCTGTAAGTGGAACTTTCATACACCTGTGTGTCACAAAGCATTCACTCAGGTTGCCCACAGGCAAAACTGAACTGATGCCTTTTTGTTGATGTGTGTGTTGCAGTCCAGTCAAGAGATTCTGAATTTTAAGTTTGTCTGTGCAAGTTAAACATCTCATAAATATTTGTATGTAGTATAAAGATTGCTTGAGATTGTCTAGTTACAGCTTTTCAAATACAGTCTCTGCCTTTTTTTTGAAATTACAAGCTTGTATTTCTACAATGCTGTATTTTTCATTGTAACTTTTTAAAGAGTTTTAGAAGTTTCCATTTCTGAAATGATGCAGAAAACATAATTAAGCTTACTCATGTGTGATACCTTCAGTCATTACTGCATAGTCTTCCTTGTGGCTAACCTACACAGCAAAGCAAAACACGAAGGGCAATTCTGAGTGCTGCCACAGGAATTGCTATGTTAGAATGCTTGTCCAGTTCAGTAGTCCATCTCATTGTGACTGGGGTATTGAAGGGTCTGCATGTGGGCATTGAGATAGGTCAGTGGGTTTCTTGTAATATTCTGGGCATGCTAAGCAAAACTAGGTTACTTCGCTTAACACAGTTGCGGTGTTACATTGTGTAGGGCTGACATTATGCAGCCCTTTGTGTCCTCCTGCAAGCACCTGTGGGATTGAAGTGATGGTTTTGTATGCAGCTTCACATTTTCTGGTCTCTTCAGTATTTAGGTATGCAAGTTTAAAGCTGTGTGTTTTCTTAGGCCTTTTTTGGTTTTGAAAAACTGCATATTGTATGGACATACTAGAGTAGTGAATGTAAGAGTGTATTTTGGTGATTCTTAGCACAGGCAGGAGGGAGCTTCTAAACACTTGCTTCAAAGGCAGTTTGTACACCTATAAAGTGGCATCAAACCATTGAGCCTGTAGAAGTCATGGATAAATGTAAACATTAATACATTTATAGAAAAGAAGTAACTACTCGGGTAGTTGGTGGGCAGGAGTAAAGACAGCTTTGAGGATAGAATTCCTGCCCCTGTAAATATGGGTGAAGTCTTTGAAGTGCTTCATTCACCTGCCATGTGCATTATGACTTTATACTTCAAGGTTTAAAATATCGAAATCCTGTTTCTCTGTGGAACAAGCTAAACAAAACCTCAGAAGACAAGGAGGGTGTGCTTTAAAAGGGACATATTTCATATGGACTGTGTGGCTGCAATAGTAACTCTTAATAATAATACCACTCTTAGGAATACCACTTTTCTGGACTTCTAGCACCACTGTCCTTAATGTCTAAGCCTAATTGCTTTGCTGAAACCAGTTACTGCAGTACTGTGACTGCCTGTAGAGCATTCTGGCTATGAATCTAGTGTGCTTTAGTGTCCTCCAGAGCTTTTTTAGGTGTTAGTAGATTCACATGGTTTTTAACTGGGTTCTTCAGCTTCTATCACACCTGGGATAATCTCAGCATCTCAGTAACTTTTTCGAAGCATGCTGAATGACTGAAATTACAACAATCTGTATATATGCCAGTAGAGCTGGATACTGCCTGCTAGAGGCATGGAACAAGGCAGAGATCCAACACAAAGAGTTTCAGACAATTTCACATAGAAGTTGTGGAGGTCATCCTTAGCTGCTGCACCAGAGGATAAAGATTTGATCTTTGTAAAGATTTGACTGTAGCTTTATAATGACTTTAACAGTTGTTGGCAAATGAACACTACTGTGTTCAAAACATTTTGCAGGAATGGTTTCCAGCAAGTGTAGAAGTACGCGTTCTTTTTGTATCTTGCAATCTGAGGAGGATGAATGATGAGCATCGCAGAGTTGTGCCTCACTAATTTCCTGAAGGACACCAAGTATCTCATCATTCTTCCATGGAGGCTCTGAAACTTGTATTCTGCCTGATTTTGAGCACTTAACAAAGGTACCTAATTATGGAAGCCCTTCACACTGATCTTTCTTTGGAAAGGGAGAAGGCCATAGAAACCATGAACTACCCTGCAGAGATGCCCCTCTCTCCTGTGTGGTTAATGGGGAGACAGCCATGAATAATCTCTGATTTTTGGGCACTGACATTTTTGACTTTTAAGGTTAGGTGAGATATCTTCTGCTATAGGTTCTGGGTATACTTATACAGCCTAACTAACTTGACCACTCTTACAGGAGCTTTCGAGCCCTTGTTTATTTAAAACATAAGAACTATTGGTTCTGTATGAATTTGGATACAGTGTCAGTCAACTCTCACCCCCATCATTCTGAAGGATAGTTCTGTATTCCAAATTAGAACATGTTCCTAGGCTTCATGACAACTGCATGATGTTCAGAAATTAAGACTGGACAGTAATCTCTAAGCTTTTGTGCTTTGTCCGTGTAGATTTTTCTCTTGCAAAGGGAAGATCTCTTAAAATTTTCTCTGCTGCTTTGGAGAGGATGAGTATAGTTAATACTATGAGCATGCACCTGGGATTCTGCAATGAACATCCCCCAAATAGCAGAAATGTGCAAAATAAAGCTGTCAATAAACAGGATTGTAGCAGCATCTGGAAGATGCATATTAAATAGCTGGAATGCCTTTATAATACTTGAGTTCATTTGTGACATGTGAGAATCTTCTAAGCCAGAGCTGTCTGCAGAGTCTTTGTGTATGCAATTTGGAAGTGCACATGTGAATAAGGAAGTGTTGAAGACTTTTATTTATCCATTAAGATACTATTGTTCTAGAACTTTTTTTTTTTTTTGTGATTTCCTGTCTGTCTTTAATGCAGGTTTCTTAACTTTATTAGAAGTTAGCTGTAAAGTATGAATGAAAACTACATTTATCTTGTGGATAGCCACTTTTAAGTCTTTACGAAACAGTGAAAGATAGGGCTACTTATCAAATGCCTACAACTCAGTGCTGGAGTCCTCTATCACATCTCATGTTTTTCTCTTATTAATCTTAGTATAGTGTAGGCAGAAAGGATTCAAGCCTTATCTGTGTCTGCCTTTGTGCTGTGAATGATTTTATGATGGCAAAGTTACTCTGTCATATTTGCTCTGTGACATTCAGATGTGTGTAAGAACCTCCTGAGATCATGACCAAGCATGCCTGTGTAGTGTCTGTATAAATAGATGTTGTAAAGCTGCCACTGTCAATGTGGTTCTAGGGTTCAAATGAAAAGAATACAGTTACAAGTTTTTAACTAAGCTGATCTGAAGCTGTAGAAGGGCATTTTCCACTCCAATTTAATTATCGTGTTATTTTCTGGCAGTTTCTCACTTTTTTCACCCCTTTTGGGTTTGGTCACCAAAATGAGTATAAACCCAAATCCTAAATGAAAAAATAAATTTGTATGAGTATGGGGATTTCTGTTCAGAGAAATGTCTGTGTTGGTTCAAAAGGGGTAATGCAGCCTCAGCTAGCAAAGAGACCTTTTACGCTTTACATTCATGTTATAATTCTAATAATTCTTGTATCAAGGTGATTACTGCATCAAATGATTTCAGCAATTGTCATGTTACTTGTAACTGAACTGTTGTTCCAGTGAGCAGTTTCTAGACCTTTCCTCAGAGCTAACATTTCTTACTAACCTCAATTTATTTCAGACATTGCTAACGTGTCTTGTAATGCTGGTTGTATTTTCCTTCTTTAGTTGCTATATAAATGTACAAGCACAATAAGTGAATTAATTCTGTAGTCTGATGAAGTCACATGAATTAATGCAAGGGGAAAAGAAACTGCAGCTATGGCAATAACCTAGTTGTATATGTGGGGTTTAATGTCAGCAGTATTATCTTTTAAGAATGTGAACCACAGAGTACTTTGTGCTTGTCTTAGCGGTCATATATGATGTTTCTTTTTAAAGGATTTAAAGCCCAGTAATATAGTAGTAAAGTCAGACTGCACTTTGAAGATTCTTGACTTTGGACTGGCCAGAACTGCAGGAACTAGTTTTATGATGACGCCTTATGTAGTGACTCGTTACTACAGAGCACCAGAGGTCATCCTAGGGATGGGATACAAAGAAAACGGTCAGCAAATATAGTCTTTCTTTGGCATAGCTTTATTTTTTTTTGTTTGGCGCACCACATTTTACATGTTAATGTTTTTTTTCAAGCTGTAGAAATTTTATAAATTAGCCTTGTGACCAAAATGCAGATTCTGGATACACCAATTCGTTTATTCAGCTCAACCCATTAGAAATGTTTGCATTTAATAGGAGAAGAAATTGAGGGCCTTGTTTGTTTAAAAATTTAAATAACTTGCTTGGTAGATTAAGTTTAATCCAGGGAGAACTGGAAATATATTAATATGTGGTATGTACCTTGATATACCTTCACCTGACTTTATTCCTGATGAGAATGTAAATTGTAATTCATCAGTAAATGTGTGTCCTAAATTTAATGCTTAAGTAACTGTATTCAATATAGCCTTTCAGGATGTAGGGAACTTAAAGGCTGCTGAGGAACAAACAAGCTAAAACCATCTTCTGTGGTATTATTCTTTATTAAAACCAGGCTACCTTAAGCATGTCACACTAAGTTCTTAATGTTACTGGAGAAAAATTCAGTACTATACTTGGGACAAGAATGCAGAGAGTACTGTTATGTAGCATCCTAGATTCTTTGAAGTCCATGATGAATTCCAAGGAAATTTGTTCATTTTGTCCCTCTGCTTGAATACATTTCCCTCCCCTGTACATTTGCTCTGTGGCCCTTCTTTCAGTATCTTCTACAAGAAAACGGGGGAAGGATATAGCATTTGAGGGAAACACAGTCAAGTACATTACATCTGAATGAAACAGCTAGTATTCTTTAGGAAACCTAAGTAGCATGTATGCCATTCCTGAAATTCTGTTGGAGGGGCCCCCCTTGTCCTGCCATTTCATTGATCTGCTGTCAGTGTGGTCAGTTCAGCTCATTTGGCGTTTCCACCTCAGGCAGGCACAGTGCACAGAGGTTACCATTTGCTGAAGGTATTTTAAACCCTCATTGATTAGTCCTCCAGTAAGGCCCATGGGATGCTGTAGTGCTTGAGGCTTTGTTAGCTGTCCCCTGGTGATGTGAGGCATGACTCCTGAGGTTACTGACACAACTAGGGCTTGCTCTGCTTTTCAGGATCCTTGATGTAGTCTGCAAACTTGCCTGGCAACTGCATACCCTTACAGCAATCTACTTTGGGCTATGTGTAAACAATAGCTGTGGTGTGCAGTCGATTGCGTTGTCATTTATAAAAGCCAAGAAGAATAACTTCTGTCAGTGTTGACAATGCAAGAAGCCAGCTCAGAGGAATGAGAACAGATCTTTTGGGGTAGGCTGTGTTTTTTTTTATTTCTGTTTGGATCGTTAGTGTGAATGAAAGGATGCACATTCCTTCAAATGGCCTCCCTCCATAGTTGGCTATTTTTCCCATCATTTAGAAGTCGGAGGTTGAGTGAAGCAAAGTTATTTTTATATCTGCTAAGGTTTTGTAGAAAGCATATGTTTGCCTCTCTTTTTTCTCCCCCAAGACTTTACACTGGCCAGTTAAGAGACACTGGATGAAAGAACCTAAAGCTGTATTCCGAGTCATGCAGCTGCCTTACAGAAGGAATTGGTACAATGGAAGTCACAAGTTTTCTGACTTAGCTTGCCCTGTTTACGTTTTTTCTCTGAAATATGAAATCATTTTGAGTTGTGAAATTGTGAAATGTTCTTCCCACTAAAATGTTGCTTAGGTTATTGTTGGAGTTAAGTAGATTATGTTCTAGAGCACCCTGTCATGCTAGTGACAATCGCATTTCTTAAGCAAATGTGAATTGTGCTGTGCAGCAGAATATAAATAAAGATTGACTTTCTTATGAAAAATTATCAGTCTTCCCAAAGCCAAATACATGGTCGTGGGGCTGACCTGCTGGAGAGCAGTGTAGGGGAAAGGGACCGGGGGGTCCTGGTAGACAACAGGATGACCATGAGCCAGCAATGTGCCCTAGTGGCCAAGAAGGCCAATGGCCTCCTGGGGTGCATTAGAAAGGGTGTGGTTAATCAGTCAAGAGAGGTTCTCCTCCCCCTCTATTCTGCATTGGTGAGGCTGCATCTGGAATATTGTGTCCAGTTCTGGGCCCCTCAGTTCAGGAAGGACAGGGAGCTGCTGGAGAGAGTCCAGCGAAGGGCTACAAAGATGATTAGGGGAGTGGAGCATCTCCCTTATGAGGAAAGGCTGAGGGAGCTGGGGCTCTTTAGCCTGGAGAAAAGGAGACTGAGGGGTGATCTCATCAATGTTTACAAATATGTAAAGGGTGAGTGTCAGGAAGATGGAATTAAGCTTTTTTCATTGATGACCTGTGATAGGACAAGGGGGAATGGGTGCAAATTGGAGCATAGGAGGTTCAAGGTGAATATTAGGAAAAATTTTTTTCCTGTGAGGGTGATGGAGCACTGGAACAGGCTGCCCAGAGAGGTTGTGGAGTCTCCTTCACTGGAGTCATTCAAAACCCACCTGGACGCCTTCCTGTGTGATGTGCTCTAGGTGACCCTGCTCTGGCAGGGGGGTTGGACTAGATGATCTTTCGAGGTCCCTTCCAACCCCTATGATTCTATGATTCTATGATTTGGAGAATGTAAAAGAAATGTGTGGACTGAGTCAGGAGACGGTCTGCATTTCCATAGGTGCTGTTGTCATTGAAAGGCTATTTACATAAACTGTTGCTCTTCTTAGTCCTGCCTGGTGAGTGGAGCTCCCCTGCTAGGCAGGCAGGACTGCAGAGTGGAGGGAGGCAGGTATCAAGGGTGTAATTATGGTAAGAATCCTTGTTCAGGGTCCTCACCTGTTAGCACTGATGCCTTTTAAGCCCATACTTAAAAGTTAACTGTTTAATTTAAATATTGAAAACAGTCAGATAAATAATGGGTAATGCCAACATTTAGTATAATTGAACATGGTCATCTGGCAGCTTTATGCTGTTTCAGTGCTCCGCTGAATTTGTGTTGGAGGATTGTAATATATGTTTTGATGATTGAAATACATACTCAGTATAGTATTCTTTTGGTAATGTACTATGCACGTATGAAATCTTTAATTGTTTTGAAACTAGCAAAGATCCCAGACAAACTAGAGTTAACTTCTACATAGGTTTTGATACTGAAGGAGATAAAGCACATTTGGGTGTACTATATTAAGAAGCTAGGACTTGCAAACTCAAGAAATTCAGAACTGAAGGACACCAATACTGTTATCCGTATGTGCCTTAACATACTTAGATTTATGTGCATGGTTTCCAGGGAGGAAGCACTGAAAAGCAAGGAAAGAACCGAACCCTCTGAAATTACTGCTTTTGAGTTTCCTAGTTTGTACACTAGGTTTGAATTTCATTTTCACGTGGCAATTTTTCTGTTAGAATTATAGAAGATAGTAAGTTCACGCTAAACAGGGCTTTTAAGAGTAAAATGCACTCTGACAAGCAGATTTTTTGAAAGATTTTTCAAATCTGTAATGAGATTTTACTCAGTCTTCTACAGAAGCAGTCATAGGAGCAGTCCTCACCATCCAAGTTTAGCTTGTCTAGCTTTATAAAAAAGTTAGAGACCTCTAAATAACAGGTTTTGTTTGATTAATGAAAGCAACAAAACAAAACACCCCCCAACATCACAAGTTTGGTGTTATAGGGTAACCAGAAGAATGAATTCCAATGTTCTTCTTCACCTCTCAAGATTTTTGTCACCTGAGGCATGAAGATAAATCACTGACTCAGTATTTCTCTTCCCAGACTTCTCCATATAATTCTGGATATTGTTTTTATCATGTTGGACACAAATTACAACAGGTTTGGGTATATTAAGAAAAAACACCACTAATCATAAAATGTTAAGTCATATTTTAAATGAACCAGGCCCTTAATTTCCACCTATTAATATGTACAACTATGATCTCCCATCATATGATTTAGATACTATTTTAGAGGAACTTGTCAATAAGGAGGAAGGTATATTTTCAATGTGAAGCAACATTGTTTGCTTGACACTGTTGAGCTCCTTCAGAATGTTTACCTGTGATTTTTAGTATACGATTGTTCTTATTTAAATCCCCTTCTTATCTGCTTAATTGAAATTCCAGTGTCATGTTTGATGTAAAAGTATTCATAATAACATAGTTTTCAAGAAAACTTTTGCATACAGAGTTAACAGTATCTCTGAAAGCATCCACAAAATAAATTGGCATACCTATAAAAAGTAAACTTGTGCATCTTTGAGCATGTCTTCCAAGTGATTTATTTTAAGGTAATGTAGAAAATGTGTATTTCATAAAAAAAAAAAAAAAATCTGCTTTTGAGTTTTTCTTTTGTATAAGATGTTATTTCAGCATAACTGGAGAAATATTTTTAAACAAAAAATTTTAACTGAAAATCTGTTAGGAGCATACTAATTGTCATTAACTGATCCTCTAAAATTCTAAGTGATCTTTTACTGATTGTGTTTGCTTTTTGTTTAAAGGGAGAGAGAGATGCATGGTAATCTGACTTGTAGGAAATATTCGATGGCAAATTTTAATTTCTATGTAATAATCAGTTAATTCTTCTCTTAAAAGTACATTTAGTATCTATTTAGATACATAATATTTTGAACAGTCACTTCCCTCTGCTACTTTACAAATTATTCCTACAATTATGACGGAATTACTTTTAAGGGAAAAAAAGTCATCTTCGGTGCTCCAATCTAGTCTATTGGCAGCTTTGCAAACCTCAGAGCTTGCAGAAGGGCTTTACTCTGCTTGATTTGTGTGTATCTCTCTCTGCTCTAGCTCTTGCTCTAACACTATGTTAACAAAAGGATGTTTTTCTGCCTTGGTTTTGAGACAGTTAAAAGCTAATCCTTGTACACGGTGTAGTTTGAAATGTTTTCATTGATTAGTATGAAGACTTGCTCTTCTTCCTGTGCTGTCTCCGCAGTTTATAGGATGCAGTCATGTTATGCTTCTTTTAATTTTAAATGACCGTTTGCTTTGCTTTTCCTTCTTTTCGTGCTACAAACATAGTGGATTTATGGTCTGTGGGGTGCATTATGGGCGAAATGGTTTGCCACAAAATCCTCTTTCCAGGAAGGGACTGTATCCTTGTGCTGCTGCAGCAGGTTGAATTAGTTAGGAAGTGATTAACCTTTTTATTGATGTTGTGTCATGAAAATGCATATTGTGCAATTTTTTTTTTTTTTTATTAAATGAACACAGATTTTTCTTGTGATACACTTTAAAAAAAAACAAAAAAAGAACTTCATTTATATTCAGGCTGCACCTAGCAGTAGGACATAGTCTCTGCTGGTCCTGTAGTTAGCATACGTTCACCTTCACTCATTTCCATTACACATGCTTTTTATAGTCACTTCATGTGTGTGTGTCTGTATACTTTTATTTTCTTTATTTTAATAACTATCTTTTATGTTAATATCATTGCATTTTGTTTTCAGTTGACATTTGGTCAGTTGGGTGCATCATGGGAGAAATGATCAAAGGTGGTGTTTTATTTCCTGGTACAGATCGTATCCTTACCTTTGGCCTAGGATATAGTTGTAAAAGGTCAAAAGATACTGCATTGATATAGTTTCAGATTAAGGTGGTTCTAATTTTTAAAATACTGGTTTTAAACTGCCTTTTCAAAATGCAATTTGCAGGTTCACTATTTTGGTTCCAGGAAGCTGCAAAAAATATCCACAGTTATACCATTTAAAGTAAAACCACAACACAGCATTAATGTGTATGACTGTCTTTAAATATTAATACTAAGAAAGATGAACAAAATACCACTTGGGCAAACAGGCTTATTTTTTCTTTTTCCTTTTTCCTTTTTTTTTTTTTTCTCCCTTTTCTCTTTTCTTTTTCCGATTTAATATAATGTCTGTCCATTGCTTTTGGATGTTGTCACATTTAAAACAGATGTGGGTTTTTTTGTTTAGGTGATGTTTTACCAGTTCACGTGCATTGATTTTTGCTTTGGAGATCATTTTATGTAATAATTTACTAATATTGTTTAGTACTTGAGTGTGTTAGTAGTTGTTATTATTTACATTTTAGAGGAGATTATTACAGAAAAATTTCTAACTAGCTTCATTAGTTAATATATTTTTATATGCAGAAGTGATCCTGCAAACAGCTTTCAGAAATATCTGGCACTTCTGTCTTTCTATTCTGTGAATGGTTCCATAATATATGTATGCATTGTCCTGTGAGCAGTACTTCAGACAAAGGTTCTGCTCCGAGCAAATAGATCTGAAACCTCTGGATCATCACTAAAATTAGTGGATCTAACTGGAGTTTGGCATCTTACTTGTTTTACTAGTAGTTACAGTCAGTTTTTCAGATGCCATCAGAAATCTTCCTGCTTTTGCTACAGGTTAACTGTTTAATAATTGGTATAGTGCCATTTAGGGGTGAAGATTTTGAGGTGCAGTGAGGAGATCCAGGGCATCCTTCCTTTCCCATTGCTCTGTCACTGTGTGGGCTGCACCATGCCTAGCTTTATGCATCTAGTTTGTTAGCATAGCTTTTCAATTTATCCTCACTGCCGGACAATACCTTTTTTTTCAAGGCCTGTACTAAAGCACTGTAGAGCCTGAAAATCTGTATATAAATGTCTGCTGTTAAGTTTTAAGAATGTATGCAGGGTCCCACTACATCTGACTGAAGATTTAGGTAGTCCAGTATCCAATCTCTGATAGCAGCTGAAAAGAAAAAGTTGGGGAGAATATATAATTGAGATAAGCACATATAAAATTCTGCTGGAGCTCTCTCCCATTATCTAACCATCTGCTACTAGGAATTCGTGAGCCAAATGTTGCTCTTTTTTACTCAGTAACAAGTATGAAATTCTTCTGCTGTGAACTGGTCAATGTCCCCTTTGTTCTTTGTGCATTTTCAATTAAGATATTCCTTATGCGTCCTTGCAACTCTTTAACTTCTGAATTCAAGTCTCTGACAAAGTTGTCATTGACCTATGGGGGCCAATATTTCATCTTTTGTGTGCCCACTTGTGCTCAGTGTTGCATGTCTTCAGTGAGAGATCATAACCTGGGAGAGTTCAGGACTGGGCCAAGGTGTCAAGATAAGAACGAAGGACAAAGCACCTTCAAGGGGTAATTCTCACGAGTTCCTTGGTGATGTGGAACAGCTTGACTACTGTGAATACATGTTCAGATGAGGAAGTGAGCTCTTCTCCAGAAACCAAACAGTGCCTTTATTTAAATTTGTTTAATACATTTTGTGAGTCTCTTTTAATTTTGTTTGTACAAAGAAGTATATCCTTTGCTAGGTAACTCTGATTTTGACTAAAGTACGTGTTGCCTTGACTATGCTATCACAATCTTACTTTGTTTCACTGTTTTCTCTAAGAAGGTAGTCCTAATTAATGATGATGAAGTTGATATTTTATTACAATTTTCTGTGTTTTCTGTTGATTTAATCAAGGGGTTTTAACATAAATTTTTAGCTGAAAATGAGACACTGTTTTTCTTAGCTACATAACCTTAGATATTGATCAATGGAATAAAGTTATAGAGCAGCTAGGAACACCATGCCCCGAGTTTATGAAGAAATTACAGCCTACAGTCCGAACTTACGTGGAGAACAGACCTAAATATGCTGGATATAGTTTTGAAAAACTCTTTCCAGATGTCCTTTTCCCAGCTGACTCTGAACACAATAAGCTTAAAGGTAAGGTGTATCTTCTGTGTGTTGTATTTTGGTTTTGTTCACTATAAAATCATCCCACTAAGGATTTAAATATTAGAACATTTATATCATGGGAGCGGATGACTGTGGTGTATGGTTACCTCTACTTATCTTCTCTGAAGCACCTCCTTTTCTGGAGTTATGTTTATGAAGGAAAGTTAATACATTCTTCTCAATGACATATGCCAACATGATTTATAGAAGAGTTGGGGGTGGTGGTGGAATAAAAGTTGTGTATGCAGAGCAGATCTTCTTTGTCAAGAGATGATAATGCAGATTTTGTATTCATCATACATAGATATCCTGTAGTTACTGAAATATCTTGCTGGTTCTAAAAATCACCTCTTCAGTGGAGTCACAGCCTCACCATATATTCTGTGACTGACAGTACGTGACAGTTCTTTCCCTGTAAACAGAGAGGGGTAGTAGGTGCTTTCCCACTGTTATTACAGGCAAGGCTGTACTGCCAGTTGAGTTATATTTCACATAAGGATGTCACACCAACGGGCACGATATGCTGAAAACGTATAGTGGAACATGTCAAACCACTTTCTCACCTCTTTTCTCTCTTCCCCCCCCCCAAATGGACAACTTTCCTAAACCCCAAATTATGTGAAAGTTGCATAGGTATTAAAATGCAATTTCTTTACTCTGGGTCTCCTCTCCTTATGAGCTTTGAAATACTGTATTATGTGCACTATATATGGCACGAGTCTAAACAGAAAATTTCACTTTTTCAGCAAGTCAAGCAAGGGATTTGTTATCAAAAATGCTGGTCATAGATGCTTCTAAACGAATCTCTGTGGATGAAGCCCTGCAGCACCCATACATCAATGTTTGGTATGATCCATCAGAAGCAGAAGCTGTAAGTTCTTGTTTAACAAGTCGCATTAAGAAGATATTTTACTAAAGCAAACTTGTGATGCTTGATATAACTGCTTGAAAGAAGATTATTGCACGAACTACACATGTCGATAGAAGCTTAACTGAGCTGTAATCGTTTTTATTGACACTGATAGACATGTTTATTGAAAATAGAATTAGGAATGAGCACAAACTGAAGTACCTGTATCCATGTGTGTGTTCGTGTATAACTGCATATAATTGCCTGGATATAGTAATGCATCTGAAATCTTTTAGAGTTCTAATTTATTGAGCTTCAGTTGTTTCAATATGGTTTGACTGCCCTTGATAGGATTCTGAAGTATTTACTCCTGGGTGAGATAAATATTTTAGTTAGTTGTAGCAATTGATAGTACTCTTAAATTAGAAAGTAAGCGTTTCAGCAAAATCTGAGTACAAGAGCTTGAGCTTTCAATTATCAACACCAATGAACAAGGGGATTGATTTAAAATTTTTCTTTAAACATAATTTTGGGACAATTTCAGCTTTTGAAAAAAGTGTTATTTTTTTAGAAGAAAGGTGGTTGTGATAGAATTGAAAAGATGCTTGATATAAATGTTGCAATTAGAATTATGTTGATCTATAATAGCTAGAGGGAAAATTTAGTGATTAACAGTAAGTAGGTAGAAAGGGCTGCTTGGGCTGGAGATTGCTGCACTTGGGATTTTTTTTAACAGACTGTTTGGTTTGTATTTTAATTACTACAGTAATGTCAGCAAAGATGTTAATCAGAAGAACAGCATCTAAAAATAGGCCAAGACCAAATATGTGAATTTACGTGACCATGTAAATACAGTATTTTTAAATCAAGCTCGTATTTGGAGTGCTTAGTTCCATTTTTCATTTATTCTGGTTTTGTATCCCTTTTGATTGCTTTATCATGAGTTGGTTTTGTTTTTCAGCCTCCACCAAAGATACCAGATAAGCAGTTAGATGAGAGGGAGCACACAATAGAAGAATGGAAAGGTAAGGACAGCATTTTAAGTATAGCAAGGCTTTTGGGAGTAGGCTGAGCCCAAACAATTACCATTAAGGTTCTTCTGAGGAACCTAGTAGTATTTACTTAAACTGCTTGGAATGGCAAAGGAATAGATCACAGCTTCACAACCTCTTGATTGTTGAGACAGTCAAAATTTTGCAGCAAAGGTGCTGAGCCTTTGTGGCAAACTTAAAGCATGCTTATTTCAGTCACCTTTTGCAAATCATAAGGCAGGAATTTTTAGGGAGGGTAAATCTTCTGGACAACCTGACGCCGTTGCAAAAGATGTAGGAGTTTGAGCAATGTAGGTCTGAAGCAAGAGCACGAGTCCTAAAGTGAAGAGCATATTAGCAGTTAACTGTACTTGTTTAAATCATGCAGAGGATTTCAAAGAAGCAGCCTTAAGGAGTGTTAGTAATGGGCAAGATAGTGACCTTACAGCTGGTGTGGGAGACGCTGGTGGTTATCAGTGGTGAAATCCTGAGAAAGTAGCTGGGGTTGAGGTGTGGAATGGATCACAGTATGACCTAAGACTTGTACCTCCAAGAGCATGATCTTTGGTGTTCAGTACTGGTCTAGTATCTGCATTTCCCGGTCATATATGAGGTGTAAAATGATAAAGCAGAAGTGGAACATCTTTGTTACTTGTAAAGCTTGTGCCTAGTTTTGAAATTGCTCCTAAAAGGTGTGGTATTATCTAGATTGCTGTGCAGGCTATAGATTATGCATTTAAGGAAGAATTTAGTGCACAGATATGTAAAGTCTAGTACTCTACTACACTTTTATTTTTGTTTTCTACTAGAAACTGAGTTATAACTGTAAAGGCAGAGATAATGAGACTTGTGGAAATTTTTTGTCGACCTCCTTCCAAGCAAGACTATTTCCTTTTTGAAGCAGATGTGCTGAGGATATTTCAGGCACTATGGAGTTTACTTTTGAGACTCCTGCAGCCCTTGAAATTATAATTCCTAAATGCATTTTTCTTCCAGACTGTTTGTACATTGCATTAGTTTGCCAGTGACAGATAAGAAGTAATATCATGACAGTCAGTTCTTACAAGTTGCATTTAACATGTTTAGTCCTTTTCTTCTATTGCTGATTTTGTAGATTCATAGCTGAAGTCTTTTCTGGGTAATAAGCTGCCATTAACCTAGAAACCAGGCTAATACACAGGCTGTATGACTGATTCATGTTACCAGCACTTCTAACCTGTTAAAGGATGAGGAACTTCTGTAATTGGAAGATAAAGTTGCTGCCTTCATTTGGAATGGCTACTTATATGCCAATATTGTATTTCATTTTGTAGTGGTCTGGACCTTTAGATGTTCTTGCTGAAGAAATTTAATGGCAACTGTGAGTCAGGAGGATGACAGTGTTGTTTGGGTTTGTTCCTACCTGTTCCTTTCAAGACTGCTGATAGAGTTTATCTGTACCAAAGAAGCCACTGATAAAAACTGAGTGGTTCTTAAGTCTCAGTTTGGTCCCCAGGCAGCCTGGGCAAAAGAGCCTTAGAGCAATGTCCATGTGTTTTGGAGAGTGCTAGGCCATTTTATCTCTAACAGAAGAGTTGTACATTTTTATATCACTTGCCAGTTGTTCTGTAGCCTACAGCCTCTTGTTCAAAACTAATTCTCAACAGTAATAAACCTGTGAAATTTAAATGTACATTTTAATGGGAATGTATTGTTGATCCTGTCTTGGCTTTGCAAATTAATTTTTTGCCTTCCCTTCTCTGCATTTTCAGAGTTGATATACAAGGAAGTCATGGACCTGGAGGAGAGAACCAAGAATGGGGTTATTCGTGGACAGCCAGCCCCTTTAGGTTGGTTACAATAAAAGCACAGTACAAAACTACTTTGAGTTGTGAGTCAGGAGAGAGTAAAACTTTTCAAGACATCCCTGAGTAACCTAACTCAACAATAGGACTCTTAAATGAGCAGTAACCTTCTGAAGTCTCTTTGAGATATTGTTTATTTGAATGGAATGTATGAGGTTCACAGCTCTTTTAATTAATCTGCTAAATTCCTCTGTTACTATCCCTCTGTAACTGACAGTAACCTTCTGAAGTCTCTTTGAGATATTGTTTATTTGAATGGAATGTATGAGGTTCACAGCTCATAGCTCTGCTAAATTCCTCTGTTACTACCCCTGTGTAACTGATTTCTTCATTTCAGTCCCCAAGAAGTATTTGTACTGGTACTGTACTGCCATAGTCTGGTTAGATGTGTAGCTGGTACAGTTTCAGATAAAGGTATAACCACTGGCTTACACCTGTTAAGTAATGAAACAGGATTTCGTGGTTGCAAAACTACAGAGCACTTTGAGAAACTTGCTGAATTTTGGAGCAATATATGCACATTAACTGACCATTTGCTGAGGAGTAATGGCAAAAGTTGGACAGCTATTGCAGACTCTGCTCAGGGTTCACTCAATCACTGTGTATCTGAGATGGAATGTATGCAGTGTGGCTGGACACCAGCTATTTCCCATCCTGAAGGGGAGGAGCTGGGGGCAAAAAGACAGGCCCCTTCTTTATTTATCAAAGTACATAGGTATAGTATAATTCTGGGTCACAATATTTTGTAGGGTATAGTAGCTCTGGCTTTATGCAGTACCATCTCAGTGATTTTTAACCTTTAGCCATTAGCATTTACTCTAATTTGACAGGTGGCATGACACATAAATTCTGTGGTTCTCGACATGCCGTTCATTAAGGCTCACATTAAAGACTGGTGGGTTTTATCTACTTTGACAGTGGGTTGAGACACATCTCCTCAAGCTTGCTGAAAGAAGCAAAAGTAGTGACTGTTAGGAAAAGACAGACTAATGAAAGTACTGAACCGTGCAACTGTATCTGCAACTGATTTGCTGTTTTGTTTCTCATAGCACAGGTGCAGCAATGATCAATGGCTCTCAACACCCATCTTCATCGTCATCTGTCAATGATGTGTCTTCAATGTCAACAGATCCAACATTGGCCTCTGATACAGACAGCAGTCTAGAAACCTCAGCTGGACCCCTGGGTTGCTGTAGATGACTACTTGGTCTTTTGGGGGGTGGGAGGGGGGTCCTTTTAGTCATTAATAGGGCACCTTTAAAATTTGGTGGTATTTTTGAGTGTTTTTTCAAAAATAATCGTAGAATTCATCATAAAGTGCTGTAATTTTAAACTGTAAGTTGTGTTCAAAGCAGCCACTTTTTTTGCTGTAATTAACTGTAAAATATTAAACCTGATAATTTTTATGGTGGTTTTAAAATCTGCATATTTGCTTTACTATTATGCTGCTGATCTTTTTTTACAGAATTTGTAAGATTTGTTTTATCAAAGCACATATTAATGTTGTGGTCATTACCATATAATGAATTATTTAAGATTTTATAGGTTTTCAATTTTTTAATTAGAGTTTATTCCAGATGTTTTGTTCATGATATCCTTCAAAGTTTTATGCTTGGTCATATGTCCGTGTCTAGGTGGAGGAGGGAGAGAATTCAGTGCAGCCAGCTGTAGTTTTGGACATACTACTGTGGTGCTGGCAGTGAACAAAATCCTCTTTTATTTTGGCCACTTGCCTATAATACTTCAGCAAAAGCGACAATTATTTTTTTTTTAAACAGAAACAGTATACAATCCTTTGCAAAGTAACCTCATCGGAATCGTTTTATGAACTTAAGAAAGCAAAGCATATCTTCAAAGCTGCAGAAATACCTAGCCTAACAAAGTAATGGGATGTTTTCTGCAGGGCTGTGGCATGCCAAATCTTGTGATCACCATAAAACACGAGGATACTTCATGAATAATACATTGCAATGCAAATAAACTGTTTACTTCTAGCTTGTAGCCTGTTTTTGTACACACAAAACAAAGTGTATCCAGGATGTCTAGACTGCCAAGAAGGAAAACGAATATGCTGTAGCTATACTTCCATGTGATATGTGATTCTTGGGATTTTTGTTTCTTGCTAGTTTTGTCTACTAAGGCAAGTGCTTTTTGGGTAGAAGAGGGAATGACATGAATGCAATGGGGGCAAAACTTTGGCTATTCTTTCTCCACCAAAAGTAACTGATTGCTAAAAACCATTAAGTGGTATGAGAACCTCAGGATTTCTGTAGCTAATGCATTAAGTGAGCAATATATGCCATCCAAAGGAGGGAGAAGTAGTGCTGTATAAATTAATATTTATCTCTTTCATTTCACCATGAGACCAGTGTAGCAGAAATCTTAGGAATGGTTCATTTTAAGTCATAAATATTCAATAGTTTTCAGCACTGAAGCTCCAGGTTTCAATACACTTTTTAAACAAAAGATATATTGAAATATATAGAACAGTTACTAAATAGTCATGTAAAATGGTGCTGCTCCTCACAGAAGTATTTTAACTGTTTACATTTTATATTTACAGAATGATTTATGTATAACTGACTTAAGTTTATGTATGAGTTAAACAATCATTCAGAATTTATTCCTTTGAAAAATGCAGATTTTTAGTGAAGCTAGGCTGTATAATTGATTGCCTTGTGTAGATGCATATTTTGTGTAGTGAATTAGAATGTGAAGAAGAATTTAAATTAGCAATGCTCACAAAAAATGAGCATAAAAGTACAGAAGTCTTGCCAGGTGCAGAGCATGAGCAAATAATATCACTGGCTAGAGAGGTCATCTAGGGGAATGACTGATGCTCTTCAGTGTGGTTCCTTCTGCTTGTTGGGTTAAATAGGTATCTTTTTGAAGTCCTAATTGAAAGAGGAAAATTTGTTTTTGCAGTAAGTTTCAGAAAAAACAGAAGTAATAGTAATGCTTTCAGTAGCTAACATGTCTTTTTAAAAAAAACATACAGGGTTACAAGGAATGGTAATGTCTCAAAGTTGACCAAACTGATAAACTGCACAGTTGTTTTTCTGGCCTGGCTAGACTGCTGGTAAGTGCTGTGTGTGTCATTTTGCTTTCCTCACTTGTGTCTAATATGTCAATGTTGCCTTTCTAAACCACATTTGTTAAGGCAATTATTTTTTACAGGATCCTGCTAAATTGTATATTACCTCAGAATAGGCAGGACATGTTTGGATTCATCTAGCACTGGAACATACAAAATCTGTTCAAGTTGAACAGAGACCAACTGAACAATCTATTTTGTAATTTTTTAATCAAAGTTTAAGCTGTGAATTAAGCCAAAATTTTTGGTCTTACAACAGTACTCCATTGTTATATAGGGTCAAATGATATTCTGGTCAACCCAATGTAATGAATTTAAGACTGACAGGATCAACTTCTGATGCCTGTAAGTGCTGTTAAGAACAGAATTTAGTAAATATAGTTCCTATTTAAATTTATATGGACACCTCTAGATTGCAGTGGTGACTGAAATATTTTGCAACTTTAAAATATTTTTTGCTATCACTTTCCAGTGTCCTGAAGAAAAATTACTTTTAAAATGAATGTTGAGTTAAAGTTACTAGACTCTTACCACAGTGTGGTATCGATCGTAGCTTCACTGAATCCGTAAGAGAGAAGTGAGCTTTTCATCTTTTAAGATAGGGTTAATGAATGGGTGGGACTGTCCACTGCAAGTCCACTGCAGTGTGAATGAGCTGTGTTTAAAGGGATTATTTCAGCAAGGTCAGAGCTTCCCTGTGGGAACCCCGAGTTCACTTTTGGCACCGTCTTCATAGCAGTGTTGCCTTTTTTTTTTTTTTTCCTAGTGCAGTTGCTTGCATTTTAGGCAAATTAAAGTGATGACAAATTTTAAAGACAAGAAAATCATTCAGTAACCACATTATCACAACAGCATGAAAGTCTTAGTTTCCATTTCTTTGTTGAAATATAAAATAATTTCAGTGATAGTTGTACACTGCCACAGACAGCAAAAAAAAAGGGGGTAGCTAGAGGTCAGCTGTCATCTCTTGTTGTCTTGTTAGATCATGTACTATCTAATGCACTGTTCAATTTTATTCTTAAAGTATTAGTAAGTTTTATTTTGGTCTGTAATTCTAAAACCTTCTTATGACAAGAAGCTTCACTAAAGTGCGTGCAACTTTCTTTTTTTCTGGATTTTTGAATCCATTAGGAGTTGGTAGGGGTTGAGTTACTGTGAGCTGCCTAATTTCTTATGTCAGGTGAGGATAAAAGTTGGCCAATATTAATGAGATTCTTTTCTACCTTCTCTGCTCAGAACTGTGGCAGGCATCAAGGATAAAATAGCTCCTCTCCGTTTGTAGAAGTAGGTTTTTCAAGAATTTGAAACAGAAAAGGGGGGGCAGGAATTAGTACCTTTACTCTGTGCTGCACCTCTGCTCTGCTCAGTCTTTTGTTGATGCAAGACAACAGGGTCACAGAATCACAGAATGTTAGGAGTTGGAAGGGACCTCCAGAGATCATCGAGTCCAACCCCCCTGCCAGAGCAGGACCATCTAGTCTAGGGCAGGTCACACAGGAATGCATCCAGACGGGTCTTAAAAGTCTCCAAGGTAGGAGACTCCACAACCTCCCTGGGGAGCCTGTTCCAGTGCTCTGGAACCCTTACAGTAAAGAAGTTCTTCCTCATGTTGAGGTGGCACTTCCTGTGCTCCAGCTTGTGACCATTGCCTCTCATCCTATCGCAGGCTACAAGTGCAAAGAGGTTGCTCCTTTCTTCTAACCAACCTGCCCTCATATATTTATACACATTAATTAGATTCCCCCCTGAGTCTTCTCTTCTCCAGGCTAAAAAGGGTTGGAACTTAGGGGTTTGTGTGTCTGTGTGTGTGAGAAATGGGACTGCCAGGACAGTACCAATCAGTTGAAGAACCTCAGACCAGCCTGATCCACCAGGTCACTTCTATTGCATTCATTCTGCTAAGCTGAACAGACAGGGCACTTCCTCCTGCGTGGGTGCTGTGCAGCTGGTGGTTTTCGTTTCCTGTCTTTCTGGCCAGGAATTCTGGCTCGGTACAGAGACGGTGTCAGCTTCGTTGGTGGGGTGAGCGCCCCGGGCTGCCGGCACTCGGGCCTGAGTTCGGGGTCGGGTGCCTAGGCTGTGTTGGAGGCAATAGCACCCCCTCCTGCCAGAGTGCCCGAGGAGCGTTACTGACGCGGGTGTGCTCATGGAAAAGTGTTTCTCTGAACACAGGCTGTTCCGTTAGGGAGCAAAAATTAAGCACCTTTCCAGGCGTTTGCATGAGTGCGGCGCCCTCTGTGCCAAGAGCCCAAAACGTGTGACATCAAACGTTTCTCGATTAAGAGTATGGGGGGAAGGGGGGAAGATGGTTCAGCTTATGCTTTGTCTTACTGTTTTAAGTTGCTAAAGGAAGTGAATTGCTGCTTCTAGCTGGTTTTATTTTTCGTTGACAGCAGCTCGTCTATGCTGTTACATTTTATTTTCCTTTCAGTGTTTTCGTTCTTATATATTTAGTTCAAGGACTGGAGTTGAAGGAGAGCTGGCTGCCTTTTTCACTAAGGTTAGAAAGAGGGTTTTAATGAAGAAATGTGATGAGCCTTTACTGCCTACCTAAATTTTCAGTTAATTTAATTTATTTTGAGCTAAGGGCACTGGATTAAAGTGGTGTTTTAAGTGATCTCTCTCACTTCCTTCTCTTTAGATTTCTCTACATTACAGATACGTTATGATTCAGATCACATTGTGTTTCTGCTTCTGCAGTTAAAAAATTAAGCTGGAGTTTCTTGAACTACCTCACACAGACTTTCTATGTTTCTTAAGTACGCAAAGCTAACCCTTGCTATTGGAACTACACTGAATGTGAATAGAAAAATACACTTCCTTTAGAAAAATAAACTTATTGGCCAATGTTGAGACAATATCAGTAAGTATGTTTCTTAATATTTCATGTAAGTTGTTCATGTGTAATTAGAGCTTGTGTACAATAATGTACATCTAGAATATTGTGTTAGCTGTAAATTGGTGATTTTATTATTGTAGTCTGGTTTTGTAGGTAAAAATAGCTTACTAGTAATGTCAGCTCATCCTTTACATTTTACAAAAGGAATAATTCTTGGTAAGCTTTGCATACAGATGAATTACTTTTGTAGGCCCAATATCTAGTCTATTTTTGAGAGTTCTTTAACTTTTATTACTAAAGTTGAGAAAAAAACCCTAATTATTGTGATCATTCCTTCTGCCCCTTTTAAAGTATATGCTCAATTTTATTTTGTCCCAAGAAATACGAAGGGGAAGATACACCATTAAAAATACTGGGGAAGACTGGATTTTTTTTTTTTCTTCCCCACATTTGATACCTTTTCCTGCTTTTCCTTTACTCCCTCCAAATAAGCTGTTGGTGGGGCATTACTGAGAACATTGTGGGTTTTTTTTACTTATTCATGCCATAGCTCGTTACATGTGCACCACTGGAATGTATACATTGTTATCTAGTATGTCAATTGGTTATAATGATATTTTAAATAAAAAAGAAAAAAAAAAGTTTGCCCACTATGAAATTAGTGTTTTTTTCATTACTAAACTGGAGATTTTGTAGTAAGGCTTCATTTGATACTTTACTAGCTTCACTCCTTACTGAGAATTCATCTGTTTTTTAATGGTATTTAAAATTCCGTTTTGTGTGTGAACTCATCTGTGGGCAAAGTGATGTTTCTTCCATTTCTCCATTCCCATGGACTTTGGATGTGCCACAGACTGCTGGTAACAAGTGTTTGCAACTGCTGGGAATCCGAATCCATTCTTGCTTCCTTTCTGCCAAGTATTAGCCACCTTCTTTCCTGGAAATACAGCTGCTGTGACCCTGCGTCGCAGAAAGAGGTAAGCCATGGGAGAGATAGATAGTGTATGTAAGGAGGGCCTAGACCCCGTGCTGTTGGACAAATCTTTCTCAAAACAGCCTCGGAGAGACCTGAAGGATCTACCTACTGAAGGACTTTTACTGGAGTGCTGACTCGTGTATCAGGACCACTTCATGCACTGGCACCTCTGCTGTGAGGCTAAGTCCTAACAGAATGCATTTCAGTGTCTTTATTTCCATAGGGTCTCAGCATTTCTTTAAAGAAAGGCTCCAGATGCCCTCGAGTTGTGTTTTTCTGCATGCTGTTACATTATCTCTCTGTATGTTTTTAAGGGACAGGTATTTTGATCATGGGCAGTGCAGTGCAGCCTACTTTGTTTACCTGGTCCACTTATTATGAGATGCTTTTCTAGGAATGCAGTGAGGCTTAGAAATGCTCTTTTATATTTGCATATGTTAGCATAAAGTGCAGCTGATTCCAAGCCATATATTAAATATAGAGCATGTCTTAGCTCTGCCAAAGGTTACTCTGTGGGTGACTTAGGCCCAGAACTGAAACACAGTGCTCATGCCTTACATGCAACTCGCTACCAAATGTAGATAATTCAGTAAGGTACCACTGTTAATTTCTCTTTCCATGTTAGAAATGCCGTAGAGACCTACTAGAAGTCTTTTGTTTTTCTGTAATGCTGCTGTTTGGCTGTGGTTGGTTTGCTTGGTTGGTTTTTAAGCATGTGTTTGTGATGGGTTTCTTTCACTGAAAAGTTTTTATACTTTTTTCACCTGCATGATACTGGAAGGGATTTTCTAGGCTGGGAAGATTACATGGGTGAAGCTATAGTAAAAATGTAGCTACCTGATTCCAGGAGCCTTTTGTAATGTCTTATTAACACTAACAAACCTGTATATTATAAAAGCTTGCTAAATGTTAAAGGTGGCACTTTTTTAAAGCTGGTGGCTGTAATATGTGAAAGGTCTGCAAAATAAGGAGTGCTCTCAGATCCATGGAGTTGCCAAATAAACTGGTGGGAAAGAGAGAACAGAGGAATAGAGCAGAACAGTCAACTGGGAAATGCTTGGTTCCATTAATCAGTTGAGCAGATACAGTTTCATTTGTGATACTGAAAAGAAGAATGATTTTTATTCTGAATGCAACATTATGTAGTGCTACATAGTTGAACAGATTATCTTATCCTGGAGCTGAAGATTTGCGACAGGTGGTTTTCCCCAGTTCTGCTATATTTTAACAGTTACAAAGATTATCTAGCATTCCAGCTGTCTTTGATTTCACTGAGTGTTAGCCAGCAGTCCTGTTAGGTGCTTGTCTTACTTTTTTTTTAGGCTCCCCGTCAGCATGGCTCAATTCTTGCAGTTTGTAGTGTGTGCCAGAACTAAAGGGAGTAGTCTGCACTTGGTACATACAGGAGATAGATAGATAGTGCCATGTAAATGGTCTAAGGGATGGGGGCTGGCAGGATGGCTATGGTGAAAGGTGCAGGTGTTGGAGTCTGGAATAGAAGGCTGCATTAAAATTAAAACCTGGTTGCTACTACTGCTTGGATTGAATGCCTCAGTAGAAATTTTCTTGTTACCAGTCCTGATGATCTAACCACAGCTAATTATTTACAACTCAGTTTGGGCCACTTATTTTGTGGTGTCTGGGATGGTACTTGATGCTACCTAACCCACTGTGCTGTTCCAGCTCAAAGTCATTCTTACAACAGTTATTGCTCACATTATGCATCTTAATACTGCTGTTTTAAAGGGGCCATTGCTTCTTTTGCAGGTTCGTTTGTGACTATCAGTAATAATACAAAGGCAGGGGGTGGGGGGGGGAAAAATAAAGAAAGATGGGCCTGCTGCTGCTGCTGCCTGCAGGTGGCAGGATGCTCCTGTGGAAAAGTCTGGTACCTGCCACACTGCCTCATACCAGGGGCAGTCAGGACTCCAGCACAGCTGGATACTCTGGGAAGAAGGGAAAATGTTTTGAAATAATTGAATTAATCTATTCATAGCACTTACTCTGCCAGCTTAATTTGACATAACTGGGAAAGATTAGGTTAAAAAGTTTCTTTTTGCTCACTGAGATGGTTTACATTTTTATAGGAAGGAGAAGCATACAGTGAGATAGAAACAAGTTAACCTCTAGATATCTGTGAGATGCTGAGAAAGTCAATATTGAAAAGTGTACAGTTTGCTGGTACATAAAAAAGCCCATACTAAGGTTATTTCCTGACAAAGAGTTATATTCTTCTCTACTAAGAAAAGACAGATTCAGGTCATTTTTTGAAAATACTTAAATAAGCAAGAATTCTCACTACAGCCTATATTTTCCCTTTAGCCAGTTCATGTTGTTGTGGCACTTCTTTTCAGTTTAAAATCCTTCTCCTCTGAGCCTTCCAAGCTGCCTCAGCTGTCAAAGATACATGCCAAGCAAGAGTGAAGAGTGCTGTTGAGTGCTGGGCTTGCAAACACAGTTCAAACTGGAACTGGTGAAACTATTTTCTGTGTGCAGGCTCTGTGTGGCTCAGGGCACTGAAAATGTTGCTTAGAACTTCTCAAAGAAGTCTCTTAAGGAACAGTCAGCCCTGGCAGTCTTTCCAGAATTACTGGAAATTACAACTTCATTCTAATGTTTTTATTTTTTTCTTTTGTAGAAGTAATGAACATAGGCTGCTAGGTTGCCTGTGATGATAGCCCTGTCCCCTCATCTGCCTGTGAACTAACAAAAGAAATCAACTGATATAAAGAGAAATGTTACAAGGCAGCTAAGTGTAATACAGTGTGGGAAGGTTAAAGATAGATAGATAGATTCCTCCCACCACTTGCACTTATTTCTCTTACCTATAGGTTTTGCTTTGAAAGTTTTATAGATTTAAGAAACCCTTCAGCATCTGAATGTGTGTTGATGATAAGAATCAATCTTCTCCCACCTTGATGTCTGATCAGTATATATCAACTCATGAGATTTTTTTTTTTTTTTTGTCTTGCAGCTACTACTGCTCTATTTTTGGCTCAAACCCTCCAGATACCTAGGGCAAAATGTGTATATTTAAAGTTCCATTGAGTTTGTGTGGCAAATCTGATTGCAATTGTTTGGTGGGTTCACAGTTTTAGTGAATTCTCAAGATTTTGGTATCTTCAGCTCATTTGTGGACTTTGTTTTCACATTATCTTCATAAAATAATGCTACTTTAAGGAATGAGAAATTTGAACAAACTTTATGTAGGGAGTGGGGCAAAAAAACCACCTCATTAAATTCATATGCTAGACCACACTGAATGTGGTAACACACTGGAACTGCCATCTTCCCAAGCACAATTGGAGGAGAACCTCAGCTCAGCCTGGCTTTTAAGTTCTGGCCATCCCACCCACCTTGCAGGACTTTCCACTGTGCTTGAGCCAGCAAAAGGATGATGCAGTGAGTCTGAAGATAGCAGGAGTACAGGTATGGAAAATAGTATCTTTTGATTTGTGGGTAAAAAGGGTGCCCGCTCTTTCTCGTCAATCTGACATCTAAACTTTCAAGCATTATGTTTAGGAGTCTATCCCAGCTGTCCCAAATACTACAGCATACGTAAAGACAAGACAGCAAATGTCACTGAGAGCACAATCTCTGTAGAATTACCCATGATACACGAGTATACCAGAACAAAGTGTGCATTTTCACTGGTTTTGCCAGAAATACAATTTTCTATGCCGTACATCAGCTTGTTCTACTTGGTGACTTTAGTACTTCGACTCCCAGTTAAACATCCTAATGTTGAAAAAAAGTCTTCCATTTCCTTCTGCAGGAGATGATTTCTGTTCTCAGCATCTTCACGAGCACGTTCAGAATTCCTCAGCTTTATCTCCAGCATCGTGTATTTCTTCCGTTCTTGGTCCAGTTCTTCTTCTAACCTAACCACTTGTTTCCTCAGGTCTGCACTTGTTTCTTCAATTCTTGAAACCAAAGGAGAGAGAGAGAGGGAGGGAGAGGGGGGAAAAAAAGTGTTTTAAAGTGGCTGGATAAATACTGCTGATAGCTATAATAAATATGTTGTTCCTCTTAGAGCTAAAATATTTTCATTATAAGGGGAAGTTTTAAAGGAGGGCACTAATTGCTATTTCATTAATGTTGAGTTTAAGGGCAGAGACTCCTTGAACTCTGGAGCCTGCATCCTGCGAAAATATGCTCAAGTCTTACTTTTGGGCAACAGACTGGTTATCTGAGGAGATGTATTAGCTCCTCAGGCTGAGTTCGAATTCCAAAATAATCCTTTAACATCTGTTTTCATCCCTATACTATGTTTCCATGTATGGATATCCAGTACAGAGGAACATCCTTGGAGGTCAGGTAGGAGTAAGGTCACAGTCTTTCCTCACTATCTGCTTCATGGTATTTTCTGTAAAATTTGCCACTAGGGTGAACACTGGGGTTGGGGAGTAAAAGGTTTTCCTACTTTACAAGATTTTATAAAAACAAACATTTCATATGAGGAAGAATCTGAAGAACAGACCTTAAACTTATCTGTGCACAAAGCTCTAATGCAAGACTCGGAGCTTTTCTCTAAGGAGGTCAAAGAACAAGGTTCCTGTGTTTTTTTGATTTGAAATAAGTACAGAAGGCACATTGCTTGGTGTCCTCCCCCTTAGAAGACAGAGTAGTGGTGTTAATACAGAGCAGGGAGTATATCCAGATAGAAATTTCTGATCACTAGAATATTCAGAAAGGGTGATTTTAAAAATTAGGTGTTTCCTAGGAAATGTGTCCCCCCTCTGACTTAAAAAAAAAAAGAAAAAAAGAAAAAAAATCACCACTACCTCTTCATTGTTCAGTATAATACTCAGTTGTGAAGCTGGGATGCATGGCTTCCATGTGAATGGGTTATTTTTAAACAGAGTAAATGACACTCAGCAAGGGCATGCTACAGTCTCCAAAACAACGACAACAACTTTTGTGACTCTCCCAGAAGGGTCTGAGTCGCATTTTATGACCACAAAGAGGCAGTTGGTCAGGTAATGCAGCTCTTCTTAAACTTTCCTTCACATACAGCCAAGGATGGCATTATCACAACTTTCACAGCAAATTAGAAAGTCACACAGAGGTTTGGTCAGCACCCGTTTTGGTGCAGCAGCCCAACACCTGCACTGATGAGTGAACAAAAATGTGTGCTGTGTCTGCAAAAAAACTGCCCAGCAATGAAGGCAGACTTATCACCCAGACAGCTGTCCTCTATAATACAAGAGGACTCTTCTGAAGCTAGGATGCTTCTCTCTATGCACACACCCCTTGTAACTTTTTTTTTTTTGTTACATCCTACAGCTCTGAGCTACCAATTAATTTTTTCCACCACAAAGTTTAGGGGTCAGCTACATCAGCCTTGATCCTCTGTCCATCTTCTGAATTACAGAGGGTCACAACACTTAATACATTTTTCCATATATAACAACATAATAGTCCTTTCCAAGATACTTCTATTTTCTTAAGAGTCCCAGGTGGTAAATGTGAATTACTGAAACTCAACAGAGAATGCCTGATAATTATATTAACCTCGAGGGAGAAATGCTTTGGAACAAACTGGTTACAGGAAGGCCATAAAACTTGCCTCCCTCTGACTAAGAGAGAGAAAATGGGCAGTTGATGATGATAAATAACAGCTTTTCCATCAGCAAGTGTTACTTACCTCTGCCCCAGGCAGATACTGACTCTGCTTTCCCTCCACTTATGTATGTGCCAACAAAAAGCTCATATTTCTTCATTAAAACATGCCCTGCTATACACACCAAGTTCTGCAAACCACACAAGCACACGTACAATTGTAAAGGAACTACTTGTGGGGACTAAACTATCTTCAATAAAATAAAGTTGATGATACAGCCCAAAGTTTTCCTGCTAAGCAGCCTGCCTTCTTTGATAGCTACCTCCTGTCTTTCCACAGGAGCAGACTTTCATGCAGTTTCAAAAGGTACATATTTTTGGCACATATAAATTGCTGCAGAAGTAGTAAAAACATTGCAAAATTTTTGAGAGCTGTAAAACTTGGCTTGAAATTCTTAGACTTGACAGCAAGATCCTTCAGGCTGTTATCCTGAACAGCTGGAATCATCTTGTTTAATACAATAAAAGCAGTGATTGCATCTTGCCTGGTTTTATGAAACTATTAGTTCATTAGGCACTTTTTCTCTACTTTACCCTGTGAGACCTGGACAGTATATAGTCCTCCCCTGCAGCCACGGTGCTCTGCCTCTGTCCAGCTGAAGGGGAAAGGTGGGTGTTTCTTAGAGGTGAGGCAGCTGAAACTACTCAACAGCTGCAATGAAGAATAGGTCCCCCATGTCAACAGCTGAAGGCCCTGGAAAGGTGGAAAGCCTTTTCTTCCTTCAGGCAACAGATAAAAATGTGCAGATATTTCCAAGTTTTCCAGCCTGGTCTCCTTTCTGTTCATTACTCTGTATCCCCGCAACAAGGTTTGGCCAGGGCAGCTCTGCAGAATTACAGTCATGTACCTTCATTGCCCTCCCATTCTGCATCAACAGAGCAACAAATAAGCCATGAACCACTATCCTCATTCACAGAGCTTTTTCCACACATCATACTAGCAACTGGCAGCATTCTCATCAGCTCTTCTACTTGGGACACAACAACGCAGGAGGAAGCTTTTCTACCACACAGTGATGTTAGGTGGGAACTGAAACTGCTACGTGGCCTGATTCTCCTCCCAGCTTCACATAGCAAGGCAGTACAATGCCAGAGGCAGAAGACAAGATGCAGCTGCTAGCAAGCTACCACCACAGGAAATCATAAAATAAAGCAGGATGGCAGTAAGTGAAACTGCTACCTTAACAGCCAGCCCACTGGAAGAGATCACAATTCAGACACCTTTTTGAGAAACAACTTTAACAAGAAAAAAGAGGCAACAAACATAGCCTAAAGCTGTGCTGTACAATCCCAAGTCATATGTGGCTTTGGTACCGTGTTTGGAAGACTGATTGGAAGTTAAGGCATGTAAATGCTACCAGAGTTTTAATAACTGAAGGAATATAACATTAACACCTTAACATACACACATACAAAAAAAAAAAAGCTGAGAACTCATCTGTTTGTAAGAAATGAGACTACAGCCCTTCTTTAGTGCCAAGTACCAGTGCTGCAGAGCCTGGGCCAGTGATGATGTGGAGTTCTGCATATGGATGTGTACTAAAATCTTAATTCCTTTAAGCAACAATACTTCATGTGCATATTTCCTTAAGTACTTTTCTGAAAGTCAGTCTATTAAACACACTCATAAAACCTAATTAATAAATATTATCTACTAGTTATAAATACTTCCTACAGCTCCTGCCCTCACAGATGACTCTCCTGAAAACTGAAGGAACTTTTCTGAACACAGATCTAAAGTACAGCACCAGCAGTTGCAGTTGTACAAGGGAACATCAGAGTGGGCAAAAATCTACACAGGAGCTGCTCTACAAGCAGCTTGCTGCTGCTTTTGAGTCAGTGGCTGGCCATATGAGCAAAGGGCAACCACATGCACATCAAAATCAAAATCAAGTTTTCTAGAATTTCAACACAAAAGGGCTGCTGAAAAAATTGTAGCTGAGATGCAGTCCCAACAGCACCACCAAAAAAAAAAAAACCAAACACCCAACCCGCAAAACCACCCAATCAGAGAACTGCCAAGATGAACTCCCTGAAGAATGTTTCTGTTGGGAAAAGCAGCAAGAAGCACTCCATAGCACTCCATTTCAGACTGACTTGGTACAAATCGTGGCACCTGCACAGACCAACAGAGTTCCTTGTTGAGGTCTGACCACCCTGGGTCCCAAGCCCTTCCCCCAAGATGTTTGCTGTTTGTCCCAGGATACTAAGAGCAGACTTTGGCATTACCTGTGTAGTTCTGATTCCCAGTGAAAACAGAATGTAAAATACTGGAATTGCTTGTGTGACAGAAATCCTATTTTTTTTTTAATCCTCTCTTAGATCAGAGTGAAAAAAGTTGGATTCAGAGAGCAGTGAGGAAAGAGGAGAACCAAATCTGCTGTCTCCCAAACCAGAACTCCAAGTTTGAGAACCTGATAGGCTTGGTAGCCCACACCCATGTTTAAAGAGGGGTAATGCTGACAGGTGACTTCCTTGTTCCCCCTGCAGATGACATTACCTTTTGATACTAGTCTCATACTCAGTCCTCTGTTTGCTCAGCTCTGTCTTTAGCTCCACCACCAAGCTCTGCAAGGCCCTAGAGCATTTGACAGAGTCTCTGGAAGCTGCAGCCGCGTTGCTTTGTTCACTGCTGCTGCTGCTGCATGCTTCAAACCTGTCGATGCTGTTCTCCAGATCTGCAGTCTTGACCTCACTGTGAGACAGTGAGCCCTGAGTTACCCACTCGGTTTTGAGAGAGCTTAAAGCCGAAGAGTCACTGGCCCGGCAGGCTGGGCAGCTGCTGACTGAGTCCATCACGGAGATTTCACATGATGATGTAGACCACGTGGCGCTGCTAAGGGAGAGGCTGGACGAAGGGACATTGTCATAAGTAGAGAGTCTCTGGGAAGAACATGAGTCTTTAACTCGTTCCCCAGAGGCTGTCCGGCGATGGCCTCGGAGTGAGTACAGGCCATTCATCAACCAGTTCCCACTGGAGGAGAGGTTTGGGATATCTAAAGATGAGCTGCCCAGCTTTGGACTCACAGACCGTGCTCCCTGCTGGCGGAAGGAGTATTTCCACGGAGGCAGCGTCTGCACTCTTTTGCTGGGGCTGGTGGCAGGCTGAGTCAATTTGCCACTGTGCTCTGAAGGAGTGTTTTTCACCACAGGTCCAGGAGTGGCCTCGAGTGGCACAGCATTGCTAGAAGGCAAATCAGTGGGGCTGGGAACATAGTTCTCTGACCTGCTGTCCTCCCCATCCTCCTCAGAGATCCATTCCACGGTACTGCGCTGACGCACAGGTCTGATTTCCAGCTGGCTCCCTGGCACATCTACCTGAGGAACAGCAAAGATTCGCCCCTGTTCACTTATCAACACTGTCATCAGGTGCTGAACTAGTGAAGTGCCTGTGGGGAGAAAATAGAGGCAAGCAGTTGATGAGACATGGAAGACCTCAGGCACTCACCCTCTGTCTATACAATGCCCTGTGAGCTCCTTGGGAGACAGCCCTGTGGCCACCACGCACTGCAGCACATCTGCACACACCACTGCTCTGGGCCTTTCTGCACAGGACTGCAAGGGGCAGGAATCCTTCCCTTTGCTGGAAACGGGACTGCAAAGAATGCAGGTGTCAGTCCAGCTCATGAATGCGGCTAACCAGCAGAGGACGAACGGTTGCTTTGAGGAGGATGCCTGGAAAAGAGGGCACACCTATCCTGCAGCAAGGCATGGAATTCAGAGCCAGCATCAATCTTTGCATTTGTGTCTCCTGCAGGACAGCATAGCCCTACGCAGAGATGTGTGCTGGATCCTGAACACACTAACTTACTTGCTGAAGTGGAGTGGAGCACCTCTCTGTGCAGCTTCCAAAACCAGCAGGTTTCCACAACTATGTGGCACACAGTTTCATAGTCTTAACAGGCCCAGAGCTAGTGTTTACTGAAGAACCAAAAATTTCATCTCAGGTCTTTGCTGCACTCAGTGTATAGAGAAACTTGCAGAAAAGTATGACATCTGTATGATACATGCACCTGCAGAAGGTGTACAGCAAGTACAGAAAGTGCTTGGAGATACTTGGATCCACAGAAAAGAGCTGTCACTGTTTGCCAGTAATGGAGTAGACTGTTATGAACTAAGAGAACACCACTTACCAAACCTAATACAAAGCACTTTCTACTAAGAGGAAAACCTTGAAAAGAACAAGTGTGCAACTCTACCTTTAAGTATTGTCTGAAATAGAGAACAAGTCTAACATACTCAGGGGGTTCTGAATTTAATAATGATGTTTCAGCCTGATAACGAGTCGGATCAATGCTGGCCAGCTGGCCACTAGGGGAGCTCACAGCATCACACAACAGATTGAGCTGTCAGCTCTTCCCACCGTTGTGATACTGCATCGTCCAGCATGCTGGGTTGGAGCAACAAACACAAAAAAAAAGCCCAAATCAAATCAAAACAAGAAACAATAATAACAAACCAAACAAACAAACAAAACCTGCTCCTGCATTCTTTTTCTCCTTCCCCACTTCAAGGGGAAGGTCTCAAATCTACCTTTAATAGTATGGCCCACATCTCTGGGGAAGGCTTTGAGCCCCTGAAGAGCTATAGAACTCTAGTATGTCACAGGCCGTGCTCTGATGTCAGCCTGTCACCTTATAGTGAGCGTTGCCATTTGTGGGGCACATCTGCAGTGCCCTTCAGAGGTCTCTTACCCAGAGCTAAAGGCACTGCTGCTGCTAAGGCATGATGATGCTGGCACTCTGTGAAGGATTTCCATCACTCAGAACACCATGTCAGCTGTCTCCTACAGCTAGGGAGCAGTGCCAGGGCTGAATCCAGACATCCTGGGCACAGCATCTCCATCTGTGCCTAATGCTGGATGAATCCATCAATTCGTTTTGCAGGCTTGCCAAGATCCCAAGATCCCACAGGTCTTGATGCAAAGACCCTACTAAAACCTGCACCACAGTAGTCGTGCCACGTGGGAGGGAGGCTGTACCCCAGCCCTAGTGTCAGCCAGACAGATATCATGCCCTGGGCATTTCCTAATTGATATGGAGGTAAATGATTTTGAAGCTTCAGATTTTTACATTCAAAATTAACAGTGATTTTCAACTTATTCCTTGGGTTCTGTGAAGTTCTGACTCACAGAGCCTGCTTATAAAGCATCACTTCTAAGACAACTAGTTGTAGCTGTTCTAGCACAGCAAAAACTACAGTACCTCTTTCACTGTGGACTGGATGTCCTCTACAGGGAGCTAACCACTGAAATGCACCAATATGAACTGACAGCAGTTTGGTACTTAAACATGGTCCTTTTAAAAAACATTTGAGCTTTCATTTTAGCAGTGGGTTCAAAAAGAATTGCACAAAACAACGTACATCAGGGCAGAGGTATCTCCATGTGGTGGAGAGGAGAGACACTCCCAAGCCAGTGGTGAGTGGGATAAGGATAAGAGAGGCCAACAAGCAGATCCCCTCACAGGCACTGAGGAAATGGATTATTTGACTTGGTGACTGTGCAGTCAAGAGAAACAGCTACCAACAAGTGTATGACTTCAAATATACTCTTACAGCTCCAAAACACGGGTGTTGTGTTATCTCACAAGAGTAGTACCTACCTTCCATCATGGTCATTGGATCTTCCATTTTGGGCCGTAATATGTTTGGTCCAAATACTGTAGCCAAGTTTTGGACACTCATCTTGTTAATGCTGGAGTGAGCCTGAACTTCATCAAGGAACCTTGAAAAGCCCCCCCAGAAAAATCAAAGGAGGAGAATATTAATAAGTAAGTAACTTCTCAGACTGCAGGCATTCAGAGGCAAGAACAGTTTTGCCCTGTGTTTATAAAACCCTGATACCTGAAATGCTTCTAAGGACTAATGCAGCTTAGACACTCTGTAATAACACCAGATCCCATCCAGTGTATGAACAAGAGAAGACAGGATGGCTTATGTCAGAAATGCAACAGCAGGAAATAGGAGTCAGTGGCCTCAAAAGTGAACAGTCTCACTCTGTCTGTGCTTCATTTCCTAAACTATTGTTAATTTTTGGATGATTGGATGGGTTTTGGCGAGGAAAAAGTTTCCTTTCTCGTTCTTCAATACTTGGTGAATTTTTGCATATTTCTACTTGCAGCATGACTTTTCCAGGCACTCTCCTTTTTTTATTCTGCTTTGCCCTGTACTGGAGGCTGTGCTGAGACCCAAGAATCCTCAGTTTTCTTCACTAAGTCAGAATCAAATTCTACTTCTCCTTCCTTTCCTCAGTTCTTCACTTAGAAACATGTGTGCTTATATTCCCCTGCCTCAGCCATTCATATTCTGAGGTACTCAGAATTAAAACGAGTGGCTATAGAAGCACATAATGATGCAAAATAACATCTTTAAAGGATTACAAAAATAAATTTCAGAAATGCTATCTGTCAGTATGCTTGGGAGGAGCTCAACATCTCATGAATAAAGATTTTCTGTCTACTGTCTGCTCCAGATGTGCAAATCTCACTAGTCATAAAGGGGACTAACTACCACAGAGTCTAGAATACAACATAAAGTTCACTACATTGTATCTAGGGTAACAGTCCATCCCAGCTCCCAAAACACATTCCAGCCCACTTTACAAAAACAGGGAGTCAGAGAGATGAGGGTGAAAAGACCATGGAGTCCCTGGTACTCCAAGAGGAAGCCACTCCCAACCCCACTTCTAAAACAGAGCTGAGGCCAGGCTGGCTATTCTGAGTACATCTGCTACTCAGGTTGTGTCATAAATCTTCCAAGTGTACACTACCTGTAAAAAATGCCTTTTTTTACTGGTCTTTACATGATTCCAAAATAAATGATGTAATATATTGATATCATTCATGCCTGCTACCAAGGTTATGGGTGACAGCAATTTACTCAGCTGGTGCTCTTTGATAAACCAAGAGCTTCCTTTAGGCAGGGTGCACATCAACCTCCACGTTTTATAGGAACAGTAACTTACATGTAAATGATGTTTGAGTAGTCATACTTTAATTTTTTAAATTATTTGCATATAAGACAGCCTCACAAAACTTAAGTGACTTTTCCAAGTGTTAATAATACATTTCACTTACTTGCATATGTATTTGAGGAGGTTGTAGTTGGCTTGGGGCAACTTTTTCACCTGTTTAACCAATTCCTGGGTACCCTGAGGGACAGGAAAACAAGAAGGAGAACTATTAATATAAACGATGCAAAGCAGACATGACTTTTCTTCAGTACTATGGAGTCCTCTTTCCAGAGTCAAAACTGTGAACAACAAATGTAACATGAGGAGACTTTCCTTTTAAAAAAAGGAGTCATCCAGTGTCTTGTTCCTTACCAAAACTCAATGTTCAGAACTTGATTCAGTTCTCACAATCAGTGGAAATCTTTCTGTCAACTTTAATAGCTGATGTAGAAGTCTTCAGTTAGTGAGGCCTGCTAATCTTCAGCATCTACTCACTGGCTTTGTACCAGCAAATGTGACTTTTCAGCGCCTGGCCTATTTGACACTTTGGGGCACTGAGTGTTTTATAAATACCTTGCAGAAATGCTCAACTGAGCAGAGGAAAATTTCTTATTAAAAAAGCTAAATGACATTCCAGTTCAACTACCTCCTTTTTAATAGGATTTGCAGTCAGTTATTCTGAGCTGTGACACAGTTCCTTAAAAAAATTCTGGTTTTACATCAAAATGTAAAATGAGACATCTGCTAGAGGAATGATTTACAACCCTGAAGCTACTAAAATCATCTCATGAAAACCTCTGACTCAGAAGGCTATTGTCCTTCCACAGTCCCAAGCATCATTTGCTTGTTCCTGTCAATGCTGCAATTGCCCTGGAGATTTGCTTATTTTTGACATAACTAAACCTTTTGTGGGAAAATAGATACCCAAGAACATTTGGGAAGATTGGTAGCTGCTAATTAATGATGGAGGGCTGCTAACTTAGAATGGAGAAATTCCAGAAGCAGCTGGTCCCAAGCCAAAGAAGTGCAGTTAGGCATTCATTTCAAATTTTCATCGATTTATTAAAGACTGTTAGGAAAGGAATTCTGCTGATCAGCATCTTGCAAGATTTTCCTGATTTCTCTGGTCCAGACGAGTCAGAAAGACCCAGAGAACAATCTGTATTCACCTCTCCATCCTTAACATATGGAACGTATAGACACATTTTTATTCTGTATGTCCCAGCACAAAAAAAAGTCCTCTGATATAAACCTGAAACTTAAAAAAATAATTCTTAAAAGCATTAAGTCCTTTCTAATTCCTTAGCTAAAAAGATATGGTGGTTTAACAGGGACAACAATGGAGACATCAATAAAAGATTGGTCACTTTAGAAAATCTCAATCATCTTTTTTAAAATTCTGAAGACTTTTGAAACAAGGACAGCTGCTACTGATGTGAAGGTTAAGGTCAGTTGCTCAGGTCATCCAGCTTTCAAGTGAGGAGTTTGAACCAGAAATAGGTATGCTGGCAGACCTAATTCCCTCTTGAACTTAGCTCTGTAACACAATTTCTTTCAAATATAGAAATGAGGATGGTATTCAGCACTATATTTGAAGTGCACTGAGTTAAAATACCATGGCTCCACCAGATACAAGAAGCAGCTTTGGAACAGAAACAGTAGTTATGAACAGCTGGAAACACGACCTAAAGGTACGAGATGTTACCTGAAAGAAAAAAAGGTTCTAAAAATTCATCATCCATGCTCTGTCACAAGGAATCATAAACAAGGTATTACACAGAGAGTATCTTCATCAAGGTACAAATACTTGCCAGGTTAAAAAAAACTTTCTCTCCTGCTCTGCCACAGATTTGTAGCCACCAACCACTTGACCAACTACGGCAGGAAGGAACACTACAGCAAAACTGTACAGGGAAGCCCAAACTAGAAACTGCTGCATTATTAACACACAGCACTGATCGTGCTTCTGGCTGCAGCCTAGCAAGCAAGAGGGGCATCACACTGCCATTCATGGGAGTACTTTGCAGTAGTTACGCTCACCTCCTTGAAAATGATGCATGTCTAATTTACCACAGATGCATGCTTTCCAAGGAGTGATCCCAAACCCAAGGATTTTGCTATGTGTGTAACACATCAGCACCAGTTAAGAGCTTCTAGTTGGGCTGGAAAACTCACAACATTTCAGATGTTCACCTAAAATCAGACCTCTCTTTAAAAACTCAAAGCCACATACCCCCTGTGTGAACTCCTGTGTGCATCTCTAGAGTACAGGCTGCAGTGAAAGCTAAAATACTACCACATCAAATCAGCTCACACCCAAATGAGATTTTAGAGATTTGAAGATCTGTCATTCATTCTTACTCTCAAATTATTTTTAATTTTCAATTCCTCCTCCCAGGCACCTTAGATCAGAATCAAATCTTTTTTAATGTTGTAGCCCTGCTCAGATATCCGGATGCCTCAGCATAACCCAAGGTCTCTGTTATGTTTCTGTTTGCATTCCAACACCAGAGATTAGTCGAGTGAAGAGTGAACATCAATCTGAATGAAAAATGAAAATCTTAGGGCAGTGTTGGAGTATTTTTTGCTGCAGATGGAGATTAGGCCTGACTAACTTCATAATAATGCCTATCTATGGTCACAATGTAGCAGCTTGAGGTGCCAATAGTTTTAGCTGAAAGGCTATTAACTTAAGTAATTCTGGTTTTATTGGGGGGATAGGTGTACAAGACAAAACTACATTTTGAGTCCAAAAGTCTCATTCAAAACTTCCAAGTGAAAAATAAAAACTAATAACACTTTAAATTAAAATTCAAATTAAAACAATAGATTGCATTTTATTTCAAAATACTTTTTTTCAGATTTTAATATTTGATTTTGAAACATCCTGCTTATCATTTTGTGCTAAAAAAAAAAATTGTGGTTTCAATGAAATCACATTTTTGAGCAGGGGGATTTTCCATGTAGGAGGCAGGTGAGGCCCTACAGGTTAGGTATGACTTTGTGCTACATTCTGCTCCACGTGCTACTGTACACGTACAACTTCTCCACCCTCTACTGTGAACTCCACCTTCCTTTCTGAAAAAGCAAACAGCCCTTGTTGAGGTTCCAGATTCTCCTTACAAAGATAAAAAAAAAAAAAATAAGAGCTTATATTTACAGCTTAATGAGACAACTTTCTGCTATCAGGAGTACCATGTTTTGTAAGCTTTCATGTTGGCTGTCTAGTGCTTCTCATTCCCTTTCTAATCCAAAGCGAATACTGCACTACAGGTCATTCGAGCCTGGCCCCACTCCCACAAAACCAACGCAGATGTTGCTTCCCAAATTTCTGCAGCCTGTGCAGGCAAAATCAGGCAAACGACATAGTTAACAAGCTGAGCAGTGATATATGATTATGTTTGCCTAACTTGGCAGTGTCTCCACTCTTGTGCAATAATACTTAATGGATCCAAAACTTCCCAATCTGCCCATCTTATGACCAAAATGAAACCAGCCTCACTGCCTCAGAAATGCTGCTTCTTGTGAAATCAACCATTACGCTGTCTGTAACATAGTGCACCCTGCAGAGGTGCCCAAGTTCACTGAGGATAAGACAGAAAATGAACAAGTTTTGGAGCTAGCAGACACATACTTGTACCTGCTAAAAGGCAGCACTAGTGCACTGACACGCTGATGTGCCTGTGCCCAGGACGCCAATGCATATTCATGTGTGCTAATATACTGTGTCATGCACAGAAATTTGCTTTCTCAGAGTTGGCCAGAGGATACATCACATGAGGACAGAGAAGCAGCAAACTTGCCCTTTATCCATAAAAAAAAAAAAATACTATTACCAGATCTGCTACATTTGATGCATGCAAACAAACATCTTCCTATGGGTATCATGAAATCTCCCCAAAGCCTTCTGCCACTTGAACTAAAGGTGAGCTCCAGGCTTTCAGCATAACACCGGTTTTATGATCCTCCGCAGAGAAAAATAGGTGAGCACACTCTTGAGGCCACCCAAAGAAGAGCAACAGAGCTGTGGACTGCTACTTACAAACCCTCAGGCCTTTGCTTCTTCAGCTAATATCGGTAACAACCCTTACAGCTTCTTTAAACCTTGTTTTAGAAGGTGGCACAGCTCCACCCAGATTAGATCAGATCCAACGTGCTTTTGCAGTCAGCAAAGACCTGAGGCACCACCACAAGAGGAACAATACTGATGAAGCAGATCAATCAACTGTATTGTAAATTACCCTGCTCCTCCCAAGCCGTGAATCAAAATTTCCATGATTGCCACAGTCTTGAAGGTTTTTGCCAGCCCCTTCCCTTGCCTTGAAACCAAAGAGAGGAACATGATAAGAAGGTTTGGGAAAAATATTCGTAGCATTATTTCCCTGATTTTGTGATACAATTATAGCCTGCCCTTTTGTAGTGCCTTTCCTCTCAGAAATACAAAGACCAAAACACCATCAACATCTCATTCACCAAAAACTTTGGAAAACAGAACATGCTGCTCTGATACATGAAACTGAAAACACAGAGCAAAGGAATGACTTCATACAGCTTGCTAATGAATCAACAGCAAGACTGGGAAAGGGAACCAGATCTACATTGCATCTCTTGCTGATATGCCACAGAAGACCTTTGTTCAGAATAAAGAAGCACCAGGTTACAAGACTGACTTCAAAATTCTCCTGCTTCAAGCAGGAGCCTGTGATATTAACACCCAATTCACAGCTTCAGGAAAATTCAGGGGAAGGCTCCCGGGAATTTATCTGATTTAAACCAGGAGTAAGGAATGGTGAAGAGAAAGCTGTACTACATTGAGTCTTGGGAAGAACCTTTGAGGTAGAAAGAGGCAAATTAGAAGTATCACTGACCTCTCCCTCATCTTTTGAGAGTAGCTGTCCACAAGAAAGAAAGTCTTCATATTTGGCAAAGGGGATGACAGGCTCTGGTAGCTCTCGAAGGTAAAGCTTCAGGAGGGATGCCACAGTGTGAACATCTGTGTTGCTGCAATAGAGAAGAGGGAAGGAAATTTAGAAACTCACACTACCCCAAAGCTTGATGCCTTTTGTTTGGGGGTGCCTCAAAGTCCCAGTTATGGACAGGGACAAATAGGTACGTGTAAGGAAGCTATTCTGTGATGTTTGTACTAGGCAGGAGGATCTACCTGGGAACAAGGAATATCTCCCATTTTGTCAAGATAAAAATGCACCTCAGGCAATATGGACAGTGGAAGGGATATATATACCCATGGTGCTGTGGGACATCAACCGACGTGGATCAGGAACGTAAGTAATCCAGTCCAGGCAAGTGCACAGTGACCACGTAGCACTAACAATAGAGCTCTGCATCTTCATGCAATCAAGCATAACCTCTGATCCTCTCACTTATCCCTCCTGTCCGATACTCTTCCCAGCTGATACCCACCAGCTGACACCCAGTCTGGTGAGCCAGGCTCCCAAGTGTCCTGGTCAAACATTCAATAAAAAAATGGAGAAAGCTACCAGGTCCTCTGTTGCCATTTGGCATGGCTGCCTGGCTTGTGGATCACATCTCCTCCCCCAGGCTGGGGTATCAGGCATTTCTGAGCCCATTGGTTATGCTAGTTCATCAGCTTTGCTTTTCTCCTCCAATCCGGGAACTTCTATTTCCTCTTCTCTCTCCTTTCAAGTTGATGTTGAGGTGTCAGATCCCATGATGAAGATGCACCTCTTCTTCCTTTTCCATGTCCTATCCAGCTTTTGATGCATGCCAATGCCTCTCCTCATTCCAAGTCTCCTGATGCACAACTTTGTTAATCTTTGCAGATGACCTCCTCAAAGTTTTTGACCGTTGGAATCCTAAACGGATTCTGTCACCAGCTCCCCACTACCCACCATTGACCTGACAGTCTTTAAAGAACTCTGACTTAAACATATCAGTAACCATGGGGCAACAGAGCTTTGAATCTCCACCTCTATCTAAAAGTTGAATCTCTTTTGGTTTGTATGGTTTTAAGCACTTTTGGAATACACAGCTAAAAAAACAGAGGAAAAATAACAATAGGAAGCTGCCAGCAGCTACCACTTGCTACTAATCCTGATAACGCTATCCCTGTTAAGCAGCTCCAACATATTTGAGAACACTACAGTTTCACAGCGCTCTTCTTTAGTTGATTATAAATGCTTTACAAGTGAGGTTAGTACCCTTATTCTTTTTCCCTTTTTTAGTGGGGAGTTTCAAGCATGGCTGGTGCATACGACCATCACGCGGAAGCAGAGCCCGCACTACAGCTTCAGGTCTGCTGGCTGCAGTTCTTGTTTCATCCACAAGGCCGTGGGAAATCCTGCCAAACTTTCAGTGGTGTGGAAGTGCAATAGGGACAGACTGCTACAGGTCCTTCCAAAACAGCAACACCTGGACTTTCATTAGAATACACATACATATTTAAAACCCAAATTGCAAACCCAAGACTTTTAAAAATAAACACTTTAATTATCAGTCATCACAGAGATCTGATCTACCACAGGGGAGGTAGGTTCTTCTAGCATTGGGAAGATCACTGTGAATACAAAAGACATCTAAAAGTACAGACTGCAGCTAGGAAAATTTAAAAAAAAAGGTTATTCCTTCCACTGCACCTGATTTGGCAACAAGCCTGCAGATTTCACACTTGCAGACATCTGCCACTGCCTAGATATGCTAAGCCATACACGGATAGGTTTAGTTACACACAGCAATAATTATGTCTGCTAGGAGGACAAGAATTTCACCTAGCCAGGGTGGAACTGCCTCTCCCTTCTTGCTAGCTGTGATTATGTGTGTCAAAGACCAGAGAGCAGAGTCTTCACGTTTCACTGCACATGGTGGAAAGAGCAAAAGGCAATGACTGAGGGACCCCCAAGTGCTATACTACTCAGGTACCTCTAGGCTTGTCTCCTTTAATTCTGTACTGAACCTTCAGTTATCACATTTCAGATCAGCTACCCAAAAGGCATGCATTCCTTCATGGGGATCTTTACTGCCTCTCTTAAAGGTGAGACTTAGCACTGATCTATTTAGCCAGTGCAAATGCCTATGGAAATAAAGGTGCTTTCTGCTTTAAAAATGCCAAGTGGAGGCTTGGCTCATCTTCATGACAATGAAGTCAGTATGGATTAGATTAAGTTAAAACATGAAAGTGAAACTATCATTCCCAATTAATTCCTTCTGTTGATACTTCTGTTCACGAATATGAACATTTTCCAGAATAACCTTGTTCACTTCCACATGAATTAAGATAATTCTGATTCTGAACTAGAACACACAGACATTCTGTTAGAAATATAAAGATTTTGTTTAAGAAAAGATGGAGTGAGACAATTTGATGATTTCAAACTTATTTTTTCATGTAAATATCTCTAAATATTTGACACTTCCATTTAGGGAACAAATACTGACTGTGGTTAAGAATCAAAGAAAGGAGGGTGGGTGGTCTGGGAAGCTGAGGGGAGGGAAGAATTCTAAGAATGTTCCAAATAAACTAAGGATATTCTTCCCAAGATGAGAGCAAACACTGTGCTGCTCATGAAGGAGAGCACTAGCTCTTCATGCAGTAGTAGGCAGGGATGCTATTGACCATGTCAAGACTGGCTGTAGGTCCAGGGGAAGTGATCCTCTAGGTTAATGTGCTGGCAATGTATCAGATACTGCCTGCACCACCTGGAAAAATGGTGCTAGTGAGTTCCAGAAAGAAATGGAGCCAGGTCTCCAAGTCAAGATCCCAGATCTGATCCCACTTCTGGGCCTATGAGAGAGATTGGGCGAGATCTACACAATGGCCTTGGATCCAAATATTCCTGAAGTTCAAGGTCTCTGTTAGGGTCAAGGCCCATTTCTCAAAGCACTGTTTAGGGTAGCCGAGTGCCCGCTCTCCCTCTGAGTAGTATGTACTTATCAGAGAAGGAAGGAAATGTTAGTTACAGCCTAGGGACAGGATTTGGCTGCAAGGGCCCTGAGAGCATCCACCCTCTTGAAGATTGCACTGCCTGGGCTAAGGACCAACGTAGAGATAACACAGCTGAGAGCTGACCCCTTTCCCTTGCTGACCTGGGATGGAGCAATCTCAGCTAGGGCTGACGCTCTTCCCGTGGGAGACAATATTAAAATGAGTTTCTACCATTTATCCTGTCTCTGAGCTACAACTCCCACTGCCTTACAGTCACAGCTGTGCCTGGTTATAGATGCCGTTGATCTGGACCTGGACTCTGACTCACAGACACATTATCTAGCCTGATCTTGGACCTGCCTTGTCACTGTGGACTTGCCTGGTAGGCTGTGTCACTGTCTCTGCCAGTCTTGTTACCATACTTGGCTCTTGGCTCACCTTGCTCTGCAGAGCAGCTGCCCCATGCTGCTCCCTGACATTGGCATGGTCGGTAGGACAAAAAAGAAGGTAGCATGTCTTTGTACCAGGCAAGGAGTGATTATATCAATATTTTCATACTGGGAGGAAAAATGCAAATAGCCATTACTTCAGAAACATTTGACTCAAGTTTTGTTAAAAATGTCAATCTATATTCAGTTTTTAAATAAAAGTTCCATCTCAGCTGTTGAAATTGTGGACCAAAGAAAATTCAAGTTGGCCAAGAATACTTCTGGGATTAGAAAGTGCTTTGCTATGACATACTGATCAGTTCTATACACAACAGCTAGAGAAGGTGTGTGAGAATGTGGTGACTATTCTAAAACCTGGTGACAAAGGAAGGAGGCGGGCTATTGCCTCTGGGCAGATCCACTAAGGGTTGCCTCAAGGGAGAATGCAATGTCTAAAAGCAGTAAAACACCTAGTTCACACCTCTGCCATATCTATTTCTACAGCAGGATCCTACCAGCTACTGAGTATTCCACACCCAAATCCAGCAATGCATTTCATTCAACATGTGCTTAAACCGAAAGACTGGAGTAACCTCATCTAAATCAACGGGCTCAGTTTCTCCCTCTGCTCAAGCATTTAGTTGCATGAAGGCCTCTGCACCCAATACCACGCAGGAGAAAGCACCAGTGACACTCTAAATGAAGAGAATGATCATGTGGAAAGAACTTGTGGACTAGGAGAGCCACTGCAAGGCTGTTCCTTGCAGATTTTACATGCATCAGATTCTACATCCCACAGATAAACTGGCCAGAATTGGATGATGTCAACTCACCTGTCAAAAAGGGGCTTCTCTCCACAGTCAAAAGAATCCTGCAGATCTTTGACAAGGTTGGCTTGGCCAGGCATCCGAAAGAGCCCCTCTTCTGTAAGACCTCTCTCCCGAATAAAATCCACACACTGCTCCACCAGCAGTGGGGCCAAGCGCTGCCCATACTTCCTCTCATACTGTACAGTGTCCTCCAAGCGCTGTCCAAAGATCCCTGCCAACAGAGAGTGAGAGAGGCATCTGGGTGTCAGCTTAAAATCATCTTGGGCTAGCACTCGGGGCATACAATGAGGGAAACTTTCTCATGGGGAAGGTGAACCTCTATAAAGGTCTAGTTTTTAGCAGAGCCAGAAGAACAAAAATTATTGTTAAAAGCAAGAATTATAAGATGAGTGATTTTTTTTCCTGCTTCAAACAGTCCTCAAACCTAAGCCAGATTATATCTCATTATACACAAGGAAGGTGGGGTTCCGATTATATTTATGGTTATCCACAACACTGCTTAATCTGGATTAAGTAACTATACTTCCATTTCATCTTCTGTCCCAAAAATGCCAAAACAAGGGCTACAATGACTCTATGGGACACAATTTCTTTCTGCATGCACGCACCTCTTAGCTGTCATACAGTTGCCCTTCAACAGTTTGCAGCTGCCCAGCCCAACAGGTAGCAATCCTGCTAGCAGGGTCTGCTAACATGACAGAATACAGTTGTCAATGTTAGGACTAGCTCTTGTGAAAATCCCCCACCATCCTGCAAGCTTTGCATTTCTATTTCATTTTCCTTAATTAAAATTGCAGAATGGAAACTAAAATACAGAGTAAAATGCATGCAAAATACATTTTCCATCCTACTAAAACATGCACAATGTACCTCTTGCACCTTGAAAATATTGGAAGCACCAGGTACTTTAAAGCCAAACTGTCCTAGTTAGTTCTTAAGTCAAGTCTACTGTAGACATATATCATTAAGTATGAACCACTGTCTTTCACCCTTGGAAGACTGGAGGTCCTGGTCAGTACCAGCTACTGAATGCCACTATTAGGACCAGATCTTTTTGACAACATAGAAGGGGCTCAGGCCATAAGACCCAGAGTTCTTAGTTCAATCCTAGCCTCTAGGAGACTGCTCCATCTAAAAAGGAGAGCTGCTGAGCTGTGTTCTGAAACCCTAATTCTAGCACCCTACAAGGTTTGGTGAAGTCAAGGCAGACAGCATCCAAGTTGACCATACTTTAGTGGTAAGAATGCAGTAAGTGAGAGAATTCCAGAATCTACTCAATTTCAGATGAGACCAGACTACATCAGATAGGAAATTTTATTCAAAAATTTATCAAAGCAGAAAGAAGCTTTCCACTGATATCAAGGAACTTTAGATCATGCATTCAGCACTCAGTTGAACCTGCAGGTCTGGGAAAAAAAGAAAAAAAAAAAAAAAAAAGGCATGCAATACTGGAGTTATTCTGTGTTTGCATCCAAAGCCAGAAGCACTGTTTAATGGATGCATGCACGTGCTTATACCAGGCTTTGGGATTTGGTCATTTCTTAAGGCTCTCCTTACCTTCCTGACAGTGACCACATTTTCCATTTTTATTTTAATGCTATAGTCATGGGACGATGATAAACCCTGCCAGGAAGTTTCCTAACCATCATTCACTGTCCTTCATGGGAGATGTCATGTCAAACCATGCCTGCTTTTTACATTCAGTCCAAGCCTTCTGAATCCTCAGTGAAACAAACCTTTCATTATCAATTTCAGCTCCCTGAATAAAACACACAGGAAGAATCCTAAAGGCCAGTTTCTTTTCTCTGCCAGTTTGTTACACATCAGAAAACAGAAACCATCCTTGTGCCCCAGCCTACACAACTGCATTACAGTATCAGAGTGGGAGGGCCATGAAGAGTCTTGAAGAAAATCCCCTCCTTACCCTGGCATGCCCTGAAGTACCTGCCCTGGAGCATGGGAGTGACTTATCTTTATCACTGTAAATATTTGTTTTCTTGCACAGTAAAGGCTTTACTAGTTTACTACTCATTTCTAATAAGCTTGAATTATCACTAAGATGGGTGTCTCTGAAGTGACATTCTAGAACACAGAATATCTTCCTATTTTTGCACAGGTTGGTTTGTAATCTCATTGTGTAGTCCCTGCTGTCATGATGGGGCACAGCAGAACTGCTTGTGGGACTCAGCATTGTCCAAAGTTTTCCAGGGCACTTACAGAGGCTCAGCAGCCATGAAAGAACAAGCTTTTCAGCCATTTCTCAGATAACTTCCAAATCCAGATCAGAGGAAAAGTGAAGTCTCCGTCATCTGTTCATCTCTCAGTATCTCTGCTGATCCTGCTTGTGGGGGAGTAACTCTCAACATTGAGTATCCTAGTAAATATGATCATTATCCAGGTATTAAGACTTGCAAGCTACAGTGCAGGCTGCTCAGCTCCCTTATGCTATTCTGTTAGGGACCATTTCTCCCTCTTCCTCTGACCTGAATGTTTGATCCTGGGCCATGGGCCGATGTAAAGCAAGGTCCTTGAGCATCAGTTACACCAAGCCTGGGTCAGACCCCAAGCTGTGAGCCTTAGGAACAAAAAACTCCATATCCTGTCATCAGTTTCTGAGCCAGACTTCCTCTCACAAAACCCATCTATTTCCTTAAAATGAGACATGGTATTAATTGTTGTGGATGCAAGACATGGAGGTTTCGGGAGGTCAGGCTGTTGTAGAAATCAGGGCAATTACAGGATAGCAGCCTTTTTTCTCCAGTCTTTGCTTGTTGAATCACAGCCCTGTCTCCTAAAGGGCCTGTCTGGAGAAGGCTCTGGGAAAGAGGTAAATGCTCTGCATTCCCCAGGCATAAAACACAGAGATCATGTTTTTCTAGAAGGTTATGTTCTGGTGTTCTAAACTTGACTCGCAGCAAGGACAAAGGCAGTGTCAGACAGGCACGTATGCAAGCACACACATAACTTCATGTGTAATCTCCACTTGCAGTGTGAAGCTTTGTCTACATTTTCCTGGCCTTGGTTTGTGGTCAGTGATGTGCTCTAATAAATTTCAGGAAATATCAGGCCTTGCCTTCCCTGTCAGCTTGGATCACAACAGCAGCAGCTTTCTGTGGGGCCAATCAACCTGTCAGTGACTCCTGGCTGAGAAGCTGACTGCAGGCAGAGATCACTGACATTGAAGGTTAAGGAATTTGATGCTAAGACAACAGAGGGGTGACCTGCTTTGAGATTCAGAAGGAGCAGCAAATGGACCCTTCACAAACACAATATTATTACTGTGGGTGTCTGCTGCAGAAATAGATTTACTGGGAATCCTGTCTTCTCCCCTTCTCAGGCATGAAGGTTGGCAACTCCTTTTTCTCCTGGCTGAAAGCAGTGGCTTTTGGAGGAAACAAAGGTAATGTAATGTTATTCTACTGCAATACTGCTGACCTCCCTTCAAATGATTTCAACTAGGCAACAAGAAAAACCAACCATGAAACCAAGACTGACATAACTGATCATGAAGTTGATCTGCCTATCACATGATGAGTGAAAGGAGCTGGCACAAGCATGGGTTTCTTCTGCTGTGCAGGTGAGATCACACAGCCCTCACAGGTCATCATTTTGCCAAGGGGAAGAAATTATCCTGAAGCCATTGCCAGGGTGAAAGCCTTCTCTCAGCCCATCTCTTTTGGCTGCCTCTCACCTTGGTTTGGCAGCCCCACTCCAGTCCAATTCCAACTACATATCTGTGTTTTCTCTTTCCAGGGAAATGCTAGAAAAGGTAACCAAGCATTGCACAGACAAAAAATTTTGTGCAAACCAACTCTGTTGGTAACTTCAACTTTCCCTCAGCAGCCCAAATTACACTGCTGCTCTGTTTTTTATTTCTCTCTGTCCTAGCCCCCCCCTTTTTTTTTCTGCCACATAGAAAAGGACCCCCTCTCAGCAACTGCTTGCAAGAAAGACTGCTCCCAGGCCAAGTCTTTTGGAGGTAAGAGCATTAAGGTTGGGGTTTAGACAGAGAAGGCACTGAGCTGCAGTTAGAGTGGGGCTGAGAAGTTTGCCTTAGAGAAATCATTCACCTGTGCAGTGGCTGCAGAGCTTGGCCGTGGCTTAGAAAAGGAAGTTGGTGTTAGGGTTCACACAAGGGGCAAGGTAAGAGCTACCTTCAGACTGAGGCTGGAAAGGGACTGTCAAAGGCAAGCTGGAGCTGCTGACAGTTCTGGGCTTGTGGAAATCTTTCATCTGGGCACCTGCTGGGGGGCCTTGGTAGAGTCTGCTCTCAAGAAAATTACTGCTAGGGCTCTCACAGCTACACTGGCAAGAGACATAGCAGATCCACCTACTTCAGTCTCCCAGGGCTAAACAGGGCAGACTAAGGAGGTGGTGTGCTGCTAGCTCTGTAAAGCTCAACTCACTTCACCTGTGTCTCAAAAGGGCTTGTAGAACTGATGTAATGAAACGTTCCTGAAACTACCAGATTATGACAGCATCACCAGGACGGACAGGGACTGCCCTGCCTTGCAAGGAAAAGCTAACATGGAACCAGTCACACACAGGCTCATCCACCGGCTCCTCAAGCCACAGGCCTGTTTTTAATCACTGGTGCCTGCAGCTTCAGACTGAACTTGGCAATGCTTCACTCCATTTGATGATCCTGCTGGAAGACATTAAAGTCTTTCTCTTCATTCAGAGAAGAGAAGGGGAGCCAGTGCTATCCAGTCACACTCCCAGAGAGAATTAGGCTGTAAATAAAGCCAAAAGCTACTAGCAACACAAGGGTTAAATTTTCTTGTCATACCCTTATCTACAGTTGGGCCCTTTTGTTTGGTTTCAAGGCAGAAAAACCCCAGCATGCCTGAGACCACATCCTTAATCTCAGAAAGATTCAAGAGATACTAAAAATAGGGCTAAAAGAGCTACAGGATTTCTTTCCTCTACTCCAACAAGCTGCCTCTGTTCTTTAACGATTTAGGTGGCTCTTTGTGGAAAAAGCAAGCCAGGAATTATGTACTGACTAAGACACAGACAGACTCTCTGTCCTGGCCTGAATAGCTCACCCACCAGCTTCAGGCAAAGCCTATACATTCAGCTATGCTGTCCAGACATGTAGTGGGCAGGAAAATATATACTCCCTGCTTCACTTTTCCTCATCAGAGCTCTGGTTCCAACCTAAATAAACTAAATATGGAGACAATACAGTCAGTTCTTGAGTAGATTTTC